TTTTCTGTCACTTTTAAAAGGATGCAGTGCTTTCTGTTGGTGTCAGCTCTATAAATGATGAATGGGCTCCAACTTGAGCTCATGTGGGCTCAGCTGCAGAGCTGCTTGAGGAACTCAGTCATAATACTGTGAAGAGAGGAGTCTATGTGCCAACTGGCAGCGCAGGTATGAATATGCGGGGATCGAAAGACGAGCTGATGGGAACCTGCACTCAGGAGTCTGAGTGAGGGTTTCTTGCTCCATCTCTTCCACTCCTTTATGTCTCTGTCAGAGCTCATTTTAATACTTTGTGGGCCAAGTCTCACACAGAGTCTCCAGCTTGTCTGAAGTCATCTGGAACGAGTCCGAGTCAAGTCTCAAGTCATTTGAGTCAATTACAAGTCTCTTCTCAAATCTGTCAGAGCAAGAAGAAATCCAGGTCAAGTCTCAGGTCAAGTCTCAGGTCAAGTCTCAGGTCAAGTCTCAGGTCTTTCCGAGCAGGTGTCACCATCATATTTATTTGTTTATTGTTTTGGGATTTTACCAAGTCAGAACCTGACCCTCCGTCTAAGTCTCAAGTCCTTGTTTCTGTGAGTTTCACTGTACGCCAAGTCCTGAGTCTCAAAACTATGTCTGTGATATATAAGCCAGTTTAATGACACTAAATCTGAATTGTTCCAGCTTCCTTCATTTAACCTTTTATTTTTCCTTTTGGCTCCTACAGAGGAGCCCTCGAGGAATCCTCTTTCATCTGGGTGTCTCTCATCCAGGTGTAAGCAGCCGTTGGAATGTATGCATGTTGTAAATACAGATTACAAGATGTCACGTTTTTTTGCAGCCGATATCGATAGTTATCATCTGTGAGTGAGATCGGCCAGTACAGAACTTTCTTTGTGTTTTGTTATAGCAGCTGGTTTAGCGGTTGGTCCGGGGTCAACAACATACTTTTACTTTGTTCAACGGAGCAGAACAAAAACCTCAATGCAGCAAGCATCCTACAGGAAGGACAACTTAATTACACAATGTAATAAATTATTAATTACATGTGTTAATTTATGTGCATTAAGAAAATTATTAACAGACTGAAATATTAAGCCTATTCAATGGGCTAAACAGTGCAAACAGTCTAATTAATAAAAGCCAATATGTCTCAGAACATTAACTCAGTTGCATTGTACAAACTAAAGAATAATAGGATTTCAACTCAGATACAGGCTGCGTTCACAATGTAGGTAATTTATCATGGCATTATAAATGGTGTACGTTATATCAGTCTCACACACTTTGTAAGTATCAACCACAAGTGACCAGTTTTAAGGTGACAGTGACTAGAAGCATCGATGCCGATCTACTGTCTCACTGAACACTCAAAGTGCTTAACACTACAAACCGTATTTACCCATTCGCTCACACTGCACTTTTGCATACAGCAGTTTTTTTCTATCACAAACATTCAAACAACAGAACCGACAAATTCTGCACTTTTCATCTTGCTCAGGGACACTCAGACCGGAGGAGCCAAAGGCTGCATCACAACCTTGTATTTAGTGGACGACCCACTCTCCCACCTGAGTCACAGCCGTCCACTTCCTGAGAGAAACGTTCCTGCTCCTATTGTTGTGTTTGTTTTATTGGCACGCTGTTACCCCTGGGGGGGGGGCTTGTCCAACATGTCGGTCAACGTTTTCATGAGTGGATAAAAGGGTGGAGAGATGTTATGCAACTAATAGGAAAATGTGAAATTTTCAAGTTTGAGTTTAGTGTATGGGGATGTAGACCGAGGAATAACAGATGACAGATAACAAATCACAGATGTTATAAACCTTCACATATCACAGTAGAAAAGCCAGTCAGTGTCACTATAAAGATGCTTGATTACCATTAATTTAACTCAAATTAGATACAGTCTCCCAGAGGCATGCACAGCAAGCAACATGGGTTTGTTATGAGTCAGTCAAAATATGGCAGAAAGGCAGTGACAGCGCTGCTCCGGAGACTTCTCGCAGGTATAAGCAGCCTTTTAAAACAAGGGTAAATGTCAGGCCTGGACTTGAAAGAGGACTCAGATGCAGAGTAACAATTAGGCAGACTTTATTTATCTATTCCAACCTCAAGAGAGAGAGGGACGAAATAAAAACAGCTATGAAAATTATGCTATAGGGAAAAATCTAATAAACAAAAAACCACTCCAAATGGAGGGACAAAACTGCTAAAACAAAAGGAATAAACCAACAGAAAATCACTCTACAAGGAGGCTACAAAAGTTGCTACAAACTTGACGAACAGAAAACTCTAGACTATGAAAATACAAACAAAAATCGCTCACTTGGAGGTAAAGAATAAGTACGATAATGCAGAGACAAAGGCAAGGCATGGACTGTGATAGTAGGCTGGGGTGCACGACAGGACGAGACACTCTGGCACAAGACAAAGGGAGACGCAGACTATAAGACACATGAGGGCAAATGGGGAACAGGTGGACACAATCAGGAATCAGGGAAGACACTCAGACAGGTGACACATGAGGAAGGGCAAGTGACCTGAAACGAGAGGAGAGTTAACCTTTCAAAATAAAACAGGAAATGACAAGACATGGAGACAGGACAAACCCAAACTTGACCTCACCGTGTGACAGTAAACCCGCTAATAAACGCCGACTGACCCCTTTTCCACTGCCAGTCCAGTCTGTGTTTCTGTTCGGGCTGAGGACACGCACCGAGCGGGCGTGCAGCAGGAAGACCCAGCACACCCCCGTCCCTTGTCCTCATCTGTGACAAGGTGTTGACCATGTTATTATTCTAATGTTCAAATGCAACAGAAAGTGCTGCTTATTATTTATTTGTGGTTTACATGATAAAACTGGGTGAAAGTTTTTACTTTTAGAAAATTTTCAGCACATTTTTAACAATACAGCGATAACATTGATAACTGTGATAAGTTTAGACACTATAATCGTGATGTCAAATTTTTTATATGGTTTCATGTCTAGTCATGTGTTTAGAAGTTGTGCAATTCTACAGCAGAAAAACGCTTCTACCACTGGTGAAAATGGAAAGCTACAAAAAAAAACCACACAACTTTGTGCTTCCATCAAAGTAAAGGTGCATATTTATGTACTGCAACAAAAAAAAACTCAACAAAGAGCAATCCATATGGTTATTATGTTATTCATTTTCACTTCAGATTGTGTAGAAAGTGAACAGAAAAAAGAAAAAAAAAGCCATGTTTTAGTGTCTCACTGAGCCTGGCTTCTGAAAACTCTTGGAAGGTATTTCGGGTCTGAAAGGCAATCATAAAGGTGTGTAGAATCATTTTATGGTTAAGGGGTTTTACAGTGTTAATCGTGAAATGAAGAATGAGTTTTGTCAGATTTGTAATGTAGTGAGAGCTCATTAGTCTGTACCTGTAGCTGTGGCAACAGTTGGGGGGGGCAGGGTTTGGCGGTTCAGTTTTCCGATGACCTCGCGGACGTTCGTGTTCGCAGTTTCATTCTCAGTTTCAGGATCGTTGCCTACTATGTATGTTTTTCATCTGGCCGCTGTGCGAACTGTACAGAGGCTCTGTTGTGACTTCAACCTGACACCTTCCCACATTCTTTACATGTATGTGTGTATTTGTCATAGAGTACATCTTATACTGTATGTGTGTGATCTCACCCACATGTTGCAAATGTGCGGTGCCTCATACCTTTATGCATCCTTCTAAGTGTGAGGCAGTGTGTGTGTGTGTGTGTGTGTGTGTGTGTGTGTTAAAAGGTCACTGAGAAGTCCCGGGGCACGAGACCAAGCAGAGCAAACATCTCTCATTTATCTTTCCTGTCGTTTTTCCAGAGAGAAAAAGTGGAGGGAAAAGAAAGGCGGGGTATTGTTTTTGCTAAAGGGGTGGAAAAATAGAGCGAGGTTTCCCCTTAGGGGATGTGATGTCATGCAGTTGCCATGGTTACCGTGTGTAATCATTGTGTGTTCATGAGAGGACATGGTGATTTAGAGTTCCTGTCACACATTGTTAAAGCTAGACAAATAGACAGATTGCAGCCTTTACACACACACATGCTAATAACTCAGCCGCTCTCACTGTGATGTTATTGGCTCTTTGAGGAAAACAATCAGACGTGTCAGACGGGCTCTGCTCCTACTCTCCTTATTACTTCTTTTCAAATGAATGTCTACGTTTAGGTTTGTACTCTACCTGTTTTGTGAGATTATGGTTGTGTTGACAGAAGAGAGTGGAAGCCAAAGTAACAGTACTCAATGTGAGGACTTAGATTACCAGCAGTACAAGAAAACTAAGATATAGCCTATTCATCAGAAAAAGTCTCATTAAAGGAATAGTTAGACATTTTGGAAAATACACTTAACTTCTTGCCAAAGAATTTAGAATAAGATCAATTCATCTCTCATATGTCCATTAAAACTGTTTTAACCAGAGGACATTAAACTTATCTTAGCATCAAGATAGAAAGCAGTTTCTACCATACAAAAGCAGTTCTGTTTTTTATGGGGGTTATGTGTTGAGTATGAGTCACCTGGGGACAGTCACTTCAGTTTTTGTACAAATTAAACAAAAAAGATGTAATGTGTTAATTAGCTTCATAATTGCTGGTAGGTAGATTTTGTTACCTTCGGGCAGAGCCAGGCTAGCTGTTTCCATCTGTTTACAGTCTTTATGCCAAGATAAGCTAACGGTAGCTTCACATCGAATGGACAAACATGAGAGTGGTGACAATCGTCTCAGAAAGATAATGAGCGTATTTCCCACGTGTTGAAATTTTAGGGCCGAACTTCCATTGTTGCAGGACATGCATTAATATCTTTAGTTCTGAATATCTCTCCAATGTGTTCTAATTTGTCTCTGCCTTCTTTTTTCTCCCCTTCCTCCTTCAATTCTTTCTGCCTGTCATTCTGTTGCTCTCTTTCCCCTTTGCCTTCTTCTTACACGCCTTTTTCTTCTAAACCTTGCTGCTCTTTCTCTTTTTTTTTTCTCTGTCCTTTCTACACCCTTTCACCTGCCCTACCTACCAGTGTGTGGTTGTGAACTGGCCCAGGGAGGCTTCTTCGTGCGGCAGGGTGAATACATCTGTACTCTGGACTACCAGCGACTGTACGGGACTCGTTGCTTCAGCTGCCAGGACTTCATTGAAGGGGAAGTGGTGTCCGCCTTGGGCAAGACCTACCACCCCCGCTGCTTCGTCTGCGCCTCCTGCAAGTAAGAAACAGGGTCCGAAACCATATCATTCACACAGAGATGGAAAGAGTGCTGAAACTTTTACTCAAGAAAAAGTACTGTTGCATAAAGGAAATCTTCCTCAGGTAGAAATAAGTCATTTAAAATGAACTCTGATTAAATGGTACAGGGGAGAACAGCGCTTAAAGCAGCCAATAGGTTCCAGTGAAGCACTTTGCACATGTGTATACAACCGATAATTACAACAGCACAGCAGGAGTCCATAGACTTTATGTTTATGTAGCAATATTCTCTCCTCGGTACAGTGAGTTACAACGATCAGTTATTTATTGTACTCACCTGTCTGAACGTAACTCTGTAAGTCTTGTGACGCCGTGACGTTCTCCACAATCTGCTCTAAATGCAAAATACAACCGGCCCGCTCCCTCCCTGGTCTCCCTGCCCCCTGCACACACAGCAGGGATTACCAGAAATGGTAGAAAGATGGTGCACACCTCACTGATGGTAGAAGTTCAGCCCAGTATCCACCTGTTGGTAAAACAACATGGCAGGTGTGTTTGATGTCGCCACACTTGCAGGGCGCGGGCCACGTCTCTTTGGCCCACACCTCCTTTCTCGGTGCTACAACCCATAGATATATGGGGGTGATAGCCAGGAGAATCCTCAGGAAGGGGGACTGCTCGAGGTATTGTGGGTCAGGATCAGATGGGAGGTTACACAGCTTGGGGACAGGAGCAGGCAGTGGATTAACCAGCGCAGGACTGGAAGGCTGGAGTCATGAACCCAAGTCGAATGGGCTGGGGTGTTGACTGAGCTGCAGGCTGAGGATGAGTGTGCTGGAGGCTAGCTCACTTGGATGCAGCCTGGAAAACAGATTGGAAAGCAGGCTTGAAGCTACAGAGCCAATGCTAGCTGGCTGGAAAACAGGCTGAGGACCAGCTGGCCTGATGCTAGCTGAGCAAATACAGGAAGAAAACAGATAAAGTGACAAAGAGTTAAGGGGGAACCGTGAAGCTAATTGGGGTGGGGCAGGCAATTACAAAAGGCGGGAAACACACAAGGGCTGGAAGCAAAACAACTAACAGACACAAAAGGAAAAGTAATTTCGAAAAGAACGGAAAAACAGAAAATAACTAAACAGTCCAAGCGTGACATCACACTGAGGGGCAGACCGTGACAGATTCTCTTTCAGAAATGAAAAGATTCACTGTACGGTTAAACTCATGTATCTGTATCAGCTGGTTGTCTCAGCCCTCCTTGTTGCTGCTTTTCCCACGACTAAAAGAGCTCAAACTAAAAATACAAAAACATATTTTCAGAGGGAGATATGGCACCCATATCTTTTTTACACACATGATGAACAGCATGGCATCATGAAGGTGTCTCTTACAAGTACATAAAGCTATACTACACATTCATGTATAAATATAGGAAAGCACGTGAAGACGTGTCACTGCAAGTCACACAGACACCTTTCCACCCATGTGCATGTGCATGCCTCTAGTGTGTGTGTGTCTGTGTGTGTGTGTGTGTGTGTGTGTGTGTGTGTGTGTGTAGTACTAGTGTTGTTCCTTAGGCCTAGAAAGGTAATAGGAGCCTCTGTCAGGCAGGTATTTTAAGTGTGTGGTCAGTCACTGCAGCCACTTAGCCCGTCCCATAGCTAGTGTTAAATGTCCTGTGTGTGTGTGTGTATGTGTGTGTGTGTGTGTGTGTGTTTGTATGGTTCTGAGGACTAATTTTGTTTTGAAACGATCATTAGGGTTAGAGTTGGAATTAGGTGTAAGTTAAGGTTAAAGTTAGGGTTAGGCATTTATTTTTGATGGTTAGAGTAATGGGCTAGGGTACATTATAACGAGTGTACTCACATCTAATGTTTGACAAGATTATGTGTGTCAGTGTGTGTGTGATCCACATGCTGAACCTGAGATCAGAATGTTCCAGTGTGGCATTTGAGGTTTGTAATGTGATCATGAAACTCCTCTACTCCTCTTATAACAAATATCACTTTTGTGGAGGCCAAACACAGGCTTATTGTGAGGGAAATAAAAATAGGGCTGACAGAGAACAAATACTGTTACTGACATCAGACATCAGACTCATCTCTGTGTGTCTCATGGTCACAGCACTGTATTGATTATCAATAATTAATAGGTCCAAATTAGGGTCAAAAAGACTTTGAACTTGTAAAGTGATAAACAAATAATTCCAAAGTTAGTAATCAACCTTTATAACCTATAAAATGAATCTGCATGAGAATTTGAGGTTGCACAAAAACACAGTGAGAAAGAATAGATACAAAGCAGACCTTACCTTCATCTCCACCGCAGGCCATGAAAGGCGTAGAAGATTTTCAAGAAGGACAGCAGTATGAGCTCCTCCATGACCCAGAAGGTTCCAGATGATGCTGTAGAAAATAATAGTAAACATTTATTGCTTTGTAAGTATGCAAACCCACCTGGGTTTAAAAAGAGCCTGCACCATCCATCTTGCAAAAATCGACCACACCTTTCACCCTGACCTCTGATTGGACTCCTCTTTCTAATAGGATTGTCCTATCCTAACTGTCCAGTCAGATTCTGGTTTAGGTTGGTAAGCATCTACAAACCTAGGAGTTATTTGTGAACACCATTTTACAAGTTCAAAGGCTTTTTCACCCTTAATTTGAGGCCATAGTAATTCATTAACAGGAATCTAGCTTTTCACTGTCACTGCCTAGGTTTCAGTCTGTGTGTGTGTGTGTGTGTGTGTGTGTGTGTGTGTGTGTGTGTGTGTGTGTGTGTGTGTGTGTGTGTGTGTGTGTGGAATATGTATATATATGTATATATATATATATATATATATATATTAGTATGTATGTATGTATGTATAATTAACAATTATGAAAAATTCTTGGTAAAATTGTTGATTAAGGTGTTCCACTAGGATCAATATTCGCCGCCCTGATATTTACTGTATACATACAGTATATAAAGTTTTTTTCAACTCAGTACTGCAGTGTGCTCTTTTATGCAGACGATACAATCTTGTGCTGTTGGTGCTAACCCAGCAAATTGCTATTTGATTCATTATTAAAGGCAGCCATCACACTCACCACTGTGAGTTATGAAAAAGTCAGATGGTTCATCACTGACATACCTGTGCTTTCATTTATAAGGTCTTTATAAGGTAGTTGTGGTCAAAGTGAATAACCATGACACCAGGTCACAAGAACCCTGAACTGGGGATGAAAGCTTTCAGGTACGATGCACCTTACATTAATGTGACTTAAAGGTTCACTAGTTAATGGTTTTATAATAATTGTGACTGTGTGAGTGATGACTGCCTTGTGTGACTGTCTTATTTTGTTGTGATCTTTTATACTGTATATGTATTTAGCTCTTTCTTTCAAAAGAGGTATTGATTGCAATGAGACATAATGAACAAATGAAGCTTAACTAACTTCAGCACATGGAACATATTGAGATTACGAGGACAAATTGAATACCTTCATTTTACATTCAATTTACTTTATATTTTGAGCCAGTTTTATTAATTATTAATTATTAAGAAACATGGTAAAATAAATGGGGGCCAAGCTATACAAATAAGTTTGTATAACTTGGTCTTCTTATTGTGTCAGACTTAGAAAATAAACTGTTTGACTGTTTAGACATGACAGTTTGTGTGGATGTGTTCTTCCCTCAGTACCTGGCTGTGACAGTGACAGCAGCTCTAATATCACATTTCCAAGCTGTAGACAGCAGCAAGTGAAAGCCAGTCAGTCTCACTCTGCCAAGGAGTCATCATTCCTTCTGTGCATGACTCTGTGTTAGAGCAGAGACATTAACATTGTTTCATTATGTTTGTGATGTCTCTTAAGCATTATAATAACACTTGCCTCTAAAGGGTATTTGGCTGCTAATGAATGGCAATGATTTGATTTGTTAATTTCGCAGCAGCAACACACACGTCTGAATGTTGTAGTCACTGTTAAAGTGATGGCTCAGGTTATTTGATGCAGGGTTTGTATCAGGTACTTCTATCTACAGAGCACTGACCCAAATCTACTGCACTGACCATGATACAACCATGTCACATAACCCCAACTATCACTTTAATACAGCTGAAGCTACTCTTATTCAGATCACCAGATGCCCTAAATATCACATTTAACTTCTAATGTGTGTCACTATCTCAAGTGACTGTGATCGCTGAACACAAAGACTTCCAGACTTCAAATCACTCATCATTTCGCAGTGACACCTCCCTCACCCTGCCTTAAACAGCTGCTAAGCCACCATACACAAATATATATTGCTTTTAATGAAGCGATTTATGTCTCATGATGATGTTTCAGAGCCTTCAAATAAATGTTCAAGCTTTTGGGGAAACTGAACTCTTAGCACAAACCCTAAGAGACAGAGCCCCAGTCTGATGCTCTCTGTGTTTTCTGTTTCTTTGCAGACAGCCATTCCCGGCTGGCGACCGAGTGACATTTAACGGGAAGGAGTGTATCTGCCAAAAGTGTACCCAGCCTTTGCCTGCCAACAGCCCTGCACCCATACAGGCTGTCCACAGTCAGTATTCTGTTTACGTCTGTGTCTCTTTCCCGTCTCCTTTAAAACATAAATCACTCCACAAGTAAACTTTTTCGAAGCTTTGTTAAACTGCTTGTTACTGTAATTCTCTGTTCCATCCCTTAAATTGGCACTTCTTAAATTGTATCAAGTCATTCCTTTCTCTGGAAACTAAAATGTCCAATGTTCTTTTTCTTCTTTTACTCAGTTAAATCAGAGTACTATGGAGGGAACCACTCCACTCAGAGAAAAGGTCAACTTCAGTATAATTTCTAATCAAATCTTATCTAATTCTGCTTCATCTCTCTGTCCTGTGTGCAGATTGCTGCGGCTGTGGGAAGGAGTTTAAGAATGAACAGTCTCTTGTAGCACTGGACAAGCACTGGCACCTGGGATGCTTCAAGTGTAAAGTCTGCAACAAGGTGCTCAATGCCGAGTACATCAGCAAGTACGTTAGTCTGGCTTTGGAAATGAAGCGCTAAAACCACACTACATCTTTAATGCTATTATGTCTATGGCAATTTGTTCTACTTTTTGTTGGGTGGTAATTGTTGGATGTCCCACTCCTTTCCCATTAATGTGCCCAATGTCAAGTGTCTTTAATGCAGATGTTTCCTTCGGTCTTCTAAGTGTCTAGTGTATGAAGATCACTGCTTACCAGATGAATGGCTTCAGGTGCCAGAGATTCAGTGTAAAATAATGAAGGAAAAACATTCACACACTCTGATCTTGATTCTGATCTTGATCTTGCAACTAGCTAGTGGAGCATTTAGCATCTGAAGAGCCAGATACAGTTCACAGCTTGTTTCCATCACACACAAGTTGCCAAAAAATCAGTTACTGTCACAAAGTTAATATTTTTAAGCAAAGGCCTTTCTATCACCTTTTATAGTTATTACTATCTCTTATATCTAATGTTTTACTGTTAGTTTACTTGTTACAACATTCTTTGTCTATCTTGAATTTAGACATTTATTTTGCTTTATATGGTTACACACACATAAATAAAGTCAAAGGTTTTTCTATAATGTAAGAATTTTCTTCTGTCACAGTTTCATGTTCCAGTATTAAAGAGCCACATGGAATACAAATAGAAAACAGAGTAGATGCAGCATAAGCATTGTAAGAAACCAGTGGCTAAAGTCTTATTTACAACAGATCTGGTCAATATGATAATATCAGAACGCAGTTCATTCTGTACCACATGTTTAGGCTGCAATAATACGCTGCCTGAAATAGTAAATCATGGCACTAACCAGCAGCTGTGGTTTTATATTTGGTCTGAAATACTCACAAATGATCATAATGTAAGTTCGTGGCTAAAGGAGCAGGATTCACCAGGCTATATCTTGTCAGCTCAGGCACGGTGCATGGACGATCCTTAGGCTCTGAGCTGAGCTGGATGATGTGAAGTGTATCTGATGCTCTGTGTCCTGTGTTGTCCCATCAGGGAGGGGATCCCTTACTGTGAGATGGACTACCACGCCATGTTCGGCATCCAGTGCGAGAGCTGCAAGAAGTACATCACTGGGAAAGTCCTGGAGGTAACGTTACTCTGCTGATGTGTTACACTTAGAAGAAATACTCAACGGCAGCTGTTAGCATTGTAGCACGCAGTCCGTCAAACACATCTAAAACAGTGTCTTCAGATTGATAAGGAGGTGAAAGAGAAATGTAGGAATCAAGGTGAATAAACAGAATAATGAAAGCTTCATGGGTAATATCATTGAAAGTGAAGATCTCAGCAAATAAAAGTCAGAATGTCTGACAGTGTTGACCCCATTTCCCCGAAGCCATCATTAAAATTTCATCAGAACTTATGCACTGCTAATGCAGATACATGAGAAATGCTTCTAGGATAGCTACCCCTGTATGAACAGATCTGAGACCAGCCCTTTATAGCATTCACATGATCATTAACACAATTTCCTGGAGTATGAAAGGGAAGAGTGCACAGGGCGGCTTCCAGAGGCCGATGGGGTGAGCTCAGCATCTCTCTGCACTCAGCCTGTTGGAGTTGCTCTTGCTTGTTTCTTATTTTTCCAACTTCTTAACTTTCTACCTCTGTCATACCTGTTTAACGGCGCTGCGCTCTCTTTGAACGCGCTAGTCGAGAGTTCTGGTCTGTTGCGCAGCAAATCCACAGAAGCATTTACACCAGGGACCAGCTGACCACGCTGAAGCCAGCAGGCATGGTGACTGCATGTTGGGCAATTGTAACAAAGCAATTTCCCTGCGGGGATCAATAAAGTATTTCTGGTTCTGATTTAGTCCCACTGTAGTCTGCTGTGTGTGGGTCCACAGGGAAGAACCAGCCAGCCGGGATCTCTTCCGTTATTCAGCACAATCTCTCCTCTTCCTTTGCCGTGGGCTAATGGCTTTGACCTCACTCTAAACTGCACACACACGTTATCTCTCCTTGTTCCCTTTCCTCCCTCCCCCCTCAGGCAGGTCATCCTTTCATTGTCACTCACTCTCAGGTACCAGTCGGCCTCTACACTTCTCTCTGTGCCATAAAACAAAGCCATACAGGCTGCTGGACACATGCAGGACACGTTACACACTTCGTCCTCCGTGTCATCGGTGTCCAATGCTGGACATTTCTTAAAAAGTGTTATTAGATATGGGGGGGTGTGAGAAAGGACACATCATCCCCAGGTTGTTGCTGTCATTAAGTGTGATGTGTGAGCTTGGCCTGATTCAGTTTGTGTGCCTTCGAGCAGTACGTATATAGAGACGGAGAGAAAGACACTAGAGTCAAGCGTCATGCTGGTAGCTGCACCTTACACCCAGTCGGACCAAAATAATTTGAAGCAGCTGACTGCACAATGGGGGCAAACACCTGATGTTCAGGTGAGATTATTCCACTTTTAAATAATGCATTTTAACTCATTCTACTGCATAGTCATTACAGGGCCTCAAATAATGAAGTGAACTATTATTATCATTATTTCATTTCATTCATTTCCCATATGCTTTAGTTTTTATATAATCATGCTGAATTAATAACATATGCCTTCATAAAATGTATTTGGCACAATCAATAGCAAGTTTCTCACTCAGGATTGTGATGAATGGGAACATTTCCTATTTTAAGATGATGGACAGTGTTTCCTCTGTCAGCAGAAGTGTGTCTGAAGCTGATGGATTTCAGTGGGGACCTGAAATTTTACAGATAATAAAGAAGTGGAAGTACTGATCAAGTGCATGCTCTGTCCAATTCCATGGTGCAGTATAAAGGTGATGCCATCATTTACATTGTATTTTAACCTTTTAGAGGGAGGTGTAATTTCTGATTTATTTTTGACAGAAAACGTCATTACAACATCTCTGTCTTCACATGCAGCTGCTGAAATGGTTAAAAAATATATTTATATCTTTTCATGTCGGTGTCATATTCAGATTCAGACTAGACAAACTGTAGGGGAAGGTGTCAGTTTTATGTAATGTTGACCCACATGTAACGCAGGCAGTGTTTTCCTGGTGTAAGTATTAGAAGCACCATACTAATCAACAACACCAAACATCTGCATCCCCCAGAATGGCCAGTCTGATTATTACTTTGCAGCTGTTCATTCTCAATGAACAAGAAAAGCTGGAGCAACATGGTGGAATAGGAAAGAGGGAGAGAGATTGACGGAGTTGGATGAGGCAAGAGGAGCATCGGTGAGGCAGGTAGAAATCAGTGCAGCAGAATGTGACCCGGTGAAGCAGCCTGTTGTTCTGCAGTGATGAAGGGAAGTGACATGGGATACCCTCCTGGGGCGGAGAGAGGGATGAGAGGAGGAGAGGAAGAAAGCTTTTAGATGGGAGGTCTTGGAAGCTCTAGCTCGGCATTATAGAGACAAACAACAATCTCTCTCTCTCTCTCTCTCACTTTCTCTCTTCCTTTCATCACATGACGCTCTCTTTTTCATGAACACGTCGGGTTCCAGTGTCTGGAGAGAGGCAGGAACAGAAGAGATGGAATGAGAGCACGTTTCTGTCTTTCTCACACTGTGTTTGTAAATGACATCATCCACATCCATTTCCTGTTGTGTCAGGCTATCAGGTGTGTACACCTGGCTCTTTGGCCCACAATGACTGGAGCCAAAGCCAGTCAAGCAGGACTAAAAGCACATTTGTGTGTGTTTGTGTGTTTTGGTGGTGTGTGTACTGACTGAGCAGGGAGTGTTCTTGTGTTTGCTTCCTTGAGGCAAGTTTTTCCTTACTTCTTTTCTTTTATTGCCTCATTCCTTAAAGGGTTGTCAATGCAACCATATAAGCCCAGTTGGCTCTGGACATGAATGTAAGAAAGACGTCGGGCTCTTATTATATATTAGTATTCTATGCCAAGATGGTGTTGGCATGAGACGTTTGGAGGATATTTGATTTCTTGGCGTAGGGAAAGGGTCAAATTTAAAACAACTGAGAGACTATTTTCTTGCCGAAGCCAGCTGCTAATCTGGCCAATGATAAGCTAGTGCTGCTAACTGAGAGGCCAGCAGAGGCAAATGAGCCGACTGTTCATTCGACCAACATGGTAACTGGCTTGTCATTAGCATTCTGAGGCTAGCTAGATTAGCTAGTGACTTGTCTTGCCACTTTATTCGTTGGTGTTTTATTGGCAGATGGGAGCCAAATGTGGTGCGTTACCGCCGCCAATTGTAGAAGCATTTAGTTTGTGTGTGTCCCTTGTGTTAAACACACAGTCTGTAACTTCTGCCTCTAGGTTCCTCTCAATCAAAACAATAACAAAAAAACATCGGTGAGTGACGTCATGAAATAGCTTGGGATCATGGGAGTTGTTGTCTTCACCACCATTACCGTAAGCTCCTCCCGGTTTGAATTCCTTCAGTGTCAGTGGTTCAGGAAATCAAACAGACAGTTGATTCTAAACATTAAAAACACTGAATGAAGCAGTTTGACATTTAAAGTCAGTGTTTGAGCGACGCTGTACGGAGGACAGAGACTCAGGGAAGAGCTGGAGCTGAGATTGATGCTGACCTTTGTTCTGATTGTTTCTCTGATAACTTATGAAGCAGACGTTCAGCAGGTTTTTACCAGCAGCTGAATTATCCACAGAGGTGTCCTCCTCTCCATAACAAACACACCAGGGGATTAAAACCAGCAGAAACACTGAATAAAACAGTTTACCTTTAAAACTCAGAGATTCACAGACGCTCTTCAGTGACACAGGACAGGACGTCTCCAGCAGCTGGGAGCTGAGCTGTCTAACATTTCCTCAGCTTGTTTCTCTGATAACTTCAGATCCAGACGTCCGACGACTAAAATCCTTCATCTGGTTCAAATATAGAGTGAAAACCACCAAGGTGTAAAAACTGTATGTGGCTTAAAACTAGATAAAAGTCAATGTTGAGCTTCTGTCAGAAAAACACACTGACACATGATCATAGAGGATATGATGTCACTGACAGGCAACAGGCGAAATGTTATACCATGATGATTTCTGTAGGTTTGAGAATTGATGGAAACATTTGTGATAATGCTAGAACACAACTCAACAACGTATAGAACATAGGTCAAGTTGTTTTTAGACATTTTACTTTGGAAAAGTTAAAAGATTTTAACTTTAAAACAGAGATAGCCAGAGCACTAGGATTTCATTGTATTTGTAATGCACTTGAAAATAAAGTTGAACTGAATTTGTCTATTTTTTAAGTTACCAAAAAATGCGCAGCATTGCTGCTTAGAACATGCATGTGCACAAAAATATCTTGAGTTCAAAATCATTTGAATTGTTTGCTACTCTACATGTCAGTGCATAACAACTGCCAAGAAAATGTTATGTTTAATAGTTAATAAAGACCATTAGCCATTACATTTAAACCCACACCAGTTAGTTAACCCAGTCAAGCCCAGTGTCAGTGCCACCTCAACTGGAGGAGGGCTCTGACCGATGCAAACGGACAGCTGACAAGTGTCACACTCCAGCTGCTCAATAACATGCGGGTCAAAAGGTCAGGTTGTCGACCCAGGAGCTTCCACTCTGGGTGGGATCATGCAAGTTGGCTCCCAGGTTCTTAGGCCCTTTTCCCATTTCTTAAATTATCACTCCTACGGCTGTTGAGTTAGGCCTCCCCAAGAGCCTGAGAACAGACCCTCTCCTTACCCCCGGCTCATCAATGGGCAGCCTGTCGAGACCGAAGAGTCTGCTATGCGGGGACTAATAGTGTTGCGATATACCAGTATTGACGATAAATCATGTTTATAATAGACATATGGTGATGGCAGATGTTAGGCCTTGGGGCTCTAGTGTTTATCAGTTCATCCAGTTGCCTTTTCACTATCCAATTAGTGTAATTATTCTTTGTGTTTGCTGTTGTGCAGTTATGGTTACAGACTCTCTCTCCACCTCACTACATTAGTATTTTGTGTAATTCATTTGCCAAACAAGGAACAAAAGACACAGTAAACAAAGGTAAAGATGAAGTTGCTTGATAGCATTATTGGGTTTTTTTTCAAATTTTCTGTAGATATTGTGATTATATCGTTATCATAAATTCTTTGGATCATATATATTGTGTAGTGAAAATCTGATATGCTGACAGTCCTGGTGGGGACATATCAAATCAATAACTGGAATTGGCAGCAGTACAGGAGGGTGAATTGAAACTGTGTGTATGGTTTTTGCCTACATCTCTGCTGCTCAGCTTCTCATTGCCGTGGCATTTCTTCGTTGTTTGTCCAGAAATGCAGGAAGCAAACCAAACGTTCCTCCTGCTGCAGCTTCACTTTAAAAGCATTTAACTGGCAAAGTGCAAGTTGACTTGTATCATGAAGTAGGAAATGCAGTGTGTTTGTCAGTGAGCTTTGCACTTACTGCTATTGTTCATCAAAAATACATCTACAAAACAAGACAACGGCCATGTTCGGCATTTTTTGACAGCGGATCAGTTTGAAATATTGCAGGGAGTGATGGAACAAGAAGGAGCAGCCACGGTGAGCTACAAGCTGCGTACCTTTAACTTCTCAAACAGGAAACCAACTCCTTTCACTGTGCAGACTCATGCCATGTGCAGTATAAAATCAAATCACAGTTGCTCATTATGGCAACAGGGCAATTATTGCTTGATTAAAGTAAGAGTAGAGAGCAGAGTAAGCAGGTGTGGCTGTTGGATTGTTGCTTTCAGAAGGTGACAAAATCTGTCGGACACAGACCCCCTCCAATCCCTTGTTGGAAAGGTGAGGAAGTTTTCAAGGTGATTTCGACCATCCGACAGTGTTTGGCACCTCCCCTCTAGACAGTCTGACAATAATACCCGCTTTAGACAGGCACTGGCCAAGTCTGTGACACATAAAAATAGACAAGGTTTGAACTTCCCTCTCAAGCTTTTTGTTTTCATTCTACACACAAATACTTTTTGTGCGTACAACAAGTGCAACAGCAAGAAGAGTGCTGTTGTGAAGATGCGCTGTAAAAGCTTGAGAGAGATAGATTGAGTAACTGCTGTGTTCTAATTGCCAGTTGTGCAGAGAGTAGACAAACAGACTGTGTGTGTGTGTGTGCGTGTGTGTCACCTGATTGGTTTGTTAGAGAGAAGACCAGGTATGTAGATAACTAAGTAATCAAAGAGATTAAAAAAAAAGCTTGCCAACTCTTTGCAACTCTTTGCCATGTTACCACTGCGCTGCCATGATCTCTTCCAGCTCTTTACCATGGCTGTCTCAAAAACCCTGAAGTCTGCGGAGTCTTAACTACAAATGGAAACCCTGGCTGACCAGCTAGAGCCTTATTCCTAAGTAAAACATTCAGTCATCATCTTTCAAGTTCATCCTTCCTCCAGCCCATTGTCTTCCCTGACTTATCAGTCCTGCAGGACAATTTTCCTCTCCTGCACCCTTGGAGTCTGACAAAGGAAGATTGCAGTACTATCTCCTTTCCGGCCCTCACATACTTTCCATGCTTGAATTTCAATCCAGCTTTGTCCTTTTATCTCCGGACGTCAATGTTTCTAAGTCAACTTCCTTTTTTTCTCTCAGCCTCTGTCTATTTATCGGTCTCAGTTCACTTCAAGTATGAGCTTTTGGCATGGTGTCCACAACATGCTACTTTCTTTGTCTCCCAATAATACTAGAACCTGGAGTCTGGGAAGCACGTGTCTTTGGTTGCCTCATCTCCCCATCTGCTGTCCATTTAGTTTGATAATCATTACGCAGGGTGTTATCCAAGAAATACAGCGTCAATGCTATGTTTTCTCCTATCGTTCCATACTGAGATGACATAGCAAAGTGGAGGGACATCAGAGGGATTGTGCGTATTCAGGCCGCCGTTGAAGCAAGAAGGGATGCCTTTGGGAGGTGGAGATCAGCAGACATCAGATGACTGTTGTGCAAAGAGAGGAAAAGAATGATTTCATCGCAGAGTGTCCATCTTGAGTAGTTTAGCTTATTATTGAGTCCATAAATCACACGTTTTAAAACAAGAAAATCTGCCAAACAGAGTGAGATAATTCTCCTTTTCTAATACTGTTTTTTGTTGTCATGACACCAAACAAGAGAGAGTAAGGCACTAGTACTGACAGAATCCTCGCTGGACAAGAGGAATGTTTTTTGGATTACCCAACAGACCGGTATTCAAATGGGAGAAAAGCAGGTTTTGGACCAATAGTTTGCTAGTTTCAGTAAAATCTTGTTACGAAAAGGAAAAACTCTTCCACAACAACAACAAGTTGTCTGATGTGTCCTTGAGCAAGGCACTGGACCTACCAACTGCTCTGATGGTTGCTTCCAGTGGCAGAGGTCCAAAGTGCTGTTTTGGAGCCAGTACTGTGGACTCAATCAGAAATGGCCCTGAAGGGAAACTACCCAAGGTGGAAATGCAAACAGTAAGTAGCTTGTTAAGAACAAAGACTCCTGATCCAGAGGGACCCATAGACAGTCAGACCAGATCCAAATATACCCAAGGATAATTGGACCCAAGTACTGTAGTTCCCAATAGAGGAAAGAGAACACCAGCGCTAGCAGCAATATTCTGGACCAGCCTGACTTGCATTCTGGGTCTCAGCTATAAGGAACTAAGTGGATCCCTGAAGAACCCTAGATTCCAATGGCCTGCAGTACAACAAGTCCAAAAGCAATCAACACTATAACTGTAACAACAATATAACAGGCACATCCATCCACACCGGGACAACCACCTCCCCTCACACTGCCTCTTCAAGCTCTGGAGATAACATACAGTATGACCCCCATTAGCCTCTAAATGTCAAGCCTTGTTATCACAGCTCCATTCTTAACACACGGGTCATAATAAATGGTTCAGACACTGCAGACTCATCAGGCTTATTGGAGAATTTGTAGGTAGTTTTGAACAGTTTGCGTTGAGTGTTAAAAGACGACGTCACCACTGATACTAATGCTGTTAGAAGATCCAGCTGCTGTTGGAGTTGTGTTTTGTCCTTTTTGCTGTGGATGAATATTGATCAGTCACTACGTCTGTAAATCTGTCAAGTTGATTGTTTCACCTCTCTCTGCACTGAATGCAGCTGCACTGCTCCTTACTAAAAACAAGAGCTCCACCTTATGGCTCAATAATGAAACACAACCTTGTCTTGTCTTGTCTTGTCATTCAGTGACACTTAAATCAAGGAATGCAAATCAAACTCTGAAACTTTTTAATGAGCTAATTATGAATTTCCTAAGAAAATGTGCCTTTAGACCTGCAGAAAACAAGCTTATATAGGAATACAGTTGCATACACTTACATCAATGACTTTGCATGATTTGATGGTTGGGGTGATGGGTGTGGCTCAGTAATGGTTAGTAATGGCCACAATGCAGCCTGAGGGATGAGGTAAACGTATTGGTCACTCAGGTGTGAAATCACTTATTGGTATTTCCTGTTTGTCTGTTATCGGCTGTACTGCATTGGTTTGTCTGATTGTCATGATTACAGTTATACATGAGCCAGATTATAACTAAATATTATATTTCCATGACTGCCAACTACTGGTGTCACAGTTTACCAGTATTGACAATAAAAAAATTAAACTAAAAAATGAAATACTTTTGTTTATCTGGTTGCCTTTTCACTGTGTTACATGTACTTGTTCTTTTTGTTCGGTTTTGTACAGTCATGGTTTCAGACTCTCTCTCCACCTCCCTACAGTCGTATCTCAATCTAATTCATTTGACAAAACACAGTAAACAAGGTTAAAGATGGATTTGACTCATAGCATTGACTCATATTACAATAATATCGTTCTTGTAAATGATTTTGGCCACAGTTATTGTGAAGTGAATAATAATATTATAACAGTCCTACTCCCAACCTCTGCAGATGGGCTAATGGTGTGTGAGTGAATGAATGCCTGTATATGGATCCCTTCAAGTCAAAATACTGAGATAGAAAATCAAAATACTAGAAGTCAAAATTGTGACTGTAACAGATTTCATGACGCCATCTGCAATCTGACAAATCATAACTACAAGATAATCTGTCAGAACCATTTACACATAAGTCAACTGTGTTCTTTTGACTTACATACAAATTCTGAAATAAGATGCCACTGTGTTACATAATTGAAAATGTAAGATGCAGTGTTTTTGGCACATGACTCATACATTTAGTTCCTAAAAGTCAGTTAATATCTGCCTTTGAATATGTCTTTTGCAAGTCCCTGAGCTTTATGGTGGTGCAGTAATAAATTGCTTGAGTAGCCCTTTAATCATTCCACTGAAGAGCTCAAACCAACAATAAATGCTGCACCGTTCTAACGTGCTCTTGTTTCTTGCTCAACAGGCTGGAGAGAAGCATTACCACCCCACATGTGCCCGCTGTGCCCGCTGTGAGCAGATGTTTGCAGAGGGAGAAGAAATGTACCTGCAAGGTAAACTCAGATACTTTCAGATCCGTTATACAAACTATACACTATATACTGAATATTCAAGCGCTTTTATTGTCACTCCAAACTTTCAGGGAAGGTACTGTAACTGTTTCTGCTTAACCTCAAAGGGTTCACTCCTAAAAACACGTGACTGTCTCTTCTTAAACTATATGAAGCACTGCAGCTAATAGTCTAGTGGTGACAGAATTCTTTGGCTCACTCTTATCTGTGCTCTCTTATTTCTGTCTCTCTAAAGCCCCAACACCTGTCTTCAGTCTCTGCTCCTCAGCATAAACCCAATGCATTATGGTTCTTCTTTTTCCTAATGGCCCGGGTTGGCAGCTCAGTGAATGAATCATGCACATTTGTGCCTGAGTCATACCAACACAGTCATAGAGATGTTATTTACTGCTGCTGTGGCTCTAACACGGAGCAGCAGCTGGTGCTGTGCCCTGGATGGTTGATTGGCTTCCGCTCTTCTTGAACTACTACTTGATTTACTCATGGATATCTCAGCTTTCTGTTTCCATAACCATAAGAATATCTGACTGGGGCGCCTCGGTGGCTCACCTGGTGGAGCGCCTACCACATGGACTTGGTCCTGACCGCAGCGGCCATGGGTTCGAAATCCAACCCACGGACATTTGCTGCATGTCATCCCCTCACTCTCTCTCCTCTGACTTTCCTGTCTACCTCTCGCTGTAATATCAAATAAAGGCAAAAATGCCCAAAAATATTAAAAAAAATCTCAGTCCAGATGAAGAGCTGAGTCATGAACGTAGTCTCCATAGTCTCATTTAGCTTCACCTTGTATAGATGTCAATATTGTCATCCATACATTACTTCATCACAGAGATATAATAAATAATATACAGCAAACTAGAACAATGGCAAATTGAACAAAAACTACTGAAAACTACAACACTACTACACAGCCATGCCAGCAACTGTATGGCTGTGAGGCTATACCAATCAATCAATCAACCAATCAACCAATCAATCAAACTTTATTTGAATAGCACTTTACAGGTAAGTGCAGTTCAAAGCTAAATGAGCTTAAAAGAAAAGGGCAAATCAAGTAAGAAAGCTGACGATGAGAAGAACATAAAAGAAGAACATAAAATAGAATAAGATACAATAAAATACAATCTTGGTCGTAATTACAATAAAATAAGTGAATAAAATAAAGTGACTAATGACTTAATGAAAAGCCAGGTTGAATAGGAACATTTTGAGTTTACATTTAAACATTTCAACACTTCCAGCTGTTCCATCGGCTCAGAGCATCAAAGCTGAAAGCTGCCCCACCAAAGGTTTTGGTCCATGGTTATGCTAATGTTAGCATGCTAATATGCGACAGTGTTAACAAGGACAACGCTAATATGTTTACCATGTTCACCTTTATCTGAATTACACATGTTCACATGCTAACACGCTCAACTCACACTACCTGCCACAATATGAATGGACATGTGAAATGCCGTAAATGATCTTTGTCTCTGTGTCTTCAGGATCTTCTATCTGGCATCCTCCGTGCAGACAAGCAGCCAAGCAGGAGGAGAAGAGTAAGGTGGGTGGAAAAGATCTTGAGTCAACTACGTGAAAAAAATCCCCAAATAGACCCAAAACAGAAACACATCCGACCACAGAGCGCCGGCACTTAGAGTGTTTTTACTAGGATGTTACATGGGAAGATATGAGCGGTTCGTAGAGGCTGTTGTAGTGGAACTGCTACACTGTGATGGAAAGCAATTTATGACAAGCGACCAGCAGCTTTCTTATCAGAGGCCCCTCAGGGTGTGAGGGAGAGAGGGAGTGGTGTTTGTGTGTGTGGGTAAAACAGAGAGGAAGACAGACGCTTGAAGACGTGTTTGATTAGTGATGATTTGCTTGAAATGAAATATATATATTTCAGTTTGTTGAACGCCGTCTATGACTCTGTTCCATAAACGCTCTCTATTGTTTGCTCCTTTCGCTGAGGTTGATAGCGACTGATAAAAAAAAAGGTGATCGAGGGAGTTCATGTGTCTGTCATGTCAGAAAAGTTTTATTCAAAACTTTATCTCCTTGTGGCGTCCAGAAGAAGCAGGGGGAGGGCCGTCTTCTCCAGTGTATAGAAATGTCGTCAGTTGAATTAGTTCCTGATTTTTTTTATTTGACCTCCCTGATGAGACCTTTTCAATATCATCAGCAGCATTAAGCTGCTCTTCGGCTGTTTTTGGCGTTCTAACTTGGATCAGTGAGGAGCAGAGGATGAAAGTCTGCTATCAGCCTGAACCTCACACATATCTTCACTTACCACAGTCACAGTCTGGCAGACAAAATCAAAGTTGGAAGTTGTCTGCAGTGATGATCAGACACGGTCCCAATCCACACTAGATGCTGCACCTTTACTTTCTACTTATCTTTATAATACACAGTTTTGCTGTTGGATAGCAGTCGACCTGCGACTACCAGTTAAACCTTATCAGTGAAAACAAAGGGGTTCTCCACAGATTGATATTTTGTCTTTGGAAGTTTTAATAAATTCTTTATTCTGTATACTGACTTTTTCATATCACGTAGTCTCAGACTCACAACCTGCTTTGAACCGGTATGCAGTCTGGCATCGGGATACAGGGATCAATAGTAAGATTGATTTGTCATCAGTTAGTGAGCCTTGCTAGTGTAATTTTCCCACTTCTACATACGTCAATGAGGACTGACTCCCCCCCCCCCCCCCAGGGATTCTGCTCAGTGTCAAATCAGAAAAAGACCCATATACACAGGCTCCTCTAAAAGTCACCAACAGAAAGAGTTAGCTAGTTGAAACCTCGAGGTTTATCAGGAACTACACTGAGCCAGCCGACCCTTCACAGCAAAGAGGAGGAGGGAGTTCATTATTTGTACATTATTACATCATTTCATTTTGACATACAACAGCCTCACATCCAGTATCTGCCCGTCCGCCATCTCCCATCCTCATTCTTCATCATACTCCCTCTCCTTCCCAGAAGCAGGTCCGGATACAGCTCAGTGACGTCCCTGAGCAACAGGTTGGTGCTCCTGTACGCCCCCCCGTACCCGCCCAAACCTCACTTAACCCTCCCCCCCCCACACACACACACAACCATCTTCTGCATGGGTTGACAGCTACTGCTACATTTGCTTCATGTCGAGCAGCAGCAGCATCGACGGGTCACATTAAGACACTGAATGTTTGAGGCAGATCTGAGCAGTCAGTGACTGATGATGCTGATGATCCGCCTGTGCATGTACAGGGAGGGTTTAATGAACAAGCAGAGATGACGGATGTTCCTGGACCTGCAGGATACATCATGTGTATCTGTGGAGGGCAACACTCACACAACTTGAACAGCCGGGGTGGATGTGACTTGTTTAAAGATAAATCTACAAGATGATAAAGATCAGACTATAATCACAAGCCTTATTTTCATTCATCTGTTCTGAGGGGGGAAGGTTCACTGCTCTCTTCAACTTGTGTGATTTAACAATAACTGATATTTGCTGATTGCCCATGCCTGACACAGCTTCACTAATAGAGCCGCAGTACTCATGTGTGGGCGTGTGTGTGCGTATTTGTGTGTGATTAAAGCACATTGTTCTGTTCTGTTGTACTTGGGACTTAGTTTATGTAGTTATGAAGTTGATGTTTAAGCTCCAGTTTAAAGGGTTAGAGTCAAAGGTCGCCGCAGCTAACATCCAACTGAATTTATTCAAAACTCAATTCATTTTTCTGCATTTTTCTTTGTTAGTTTGCTTGTAGGTGTGAACCAGCTGGGGGCCGATACTGTCACCTGTTGTTCAGCACTCTTCACTTCACGAGTCTGTACATGAATATTTGTTGTAGCGTAGTGTGTATGTGACCGTACGTAGTGCTGAGGTTGTGGGAAAGTTCATGCCTGTGTCGCCAGACCTATGGATCTCTGACAGCTAATGTTATGTGGGCTTGATGAACAAAGGAAAACATGTAGTAGTGTTTGTGAGCTATAAAAATACCAGGTTTTCCAGCTGGTAGCACACCGCAGAAGTTGACAGGAGGCTGAAACCTACATGTTGTTTCCGCACATTTGTCTAAATATGTACAAAGCGCTGTGACACACAGGGCTGTGGTATGACTGTTGGTAGGACAAAACAAGCAATTTGAAGATGTCACCTCTGATTCTGGGAAATTATGACTTTTTTTTCACTAATTTCTGACAATTTACAGACAAAACAGTCAGATAATGCAAAACCAATCAAGAGCTTAATTCTTCATAAAGAAATCAATCATTGGTTGTGATCAGTGTTAGCAGTAACAGGGTGGGAGTTGCCCTGTGCTCTCACTGTAGATTCACTGTGTTGTCACCAGACGACGGTTCATGGTCTTTCTTTCCACTGAAGAGAGGTTTATGTGGCGGCTTGGAAATGAAAATCTGAACTAAACCTCTGTTCACACAAAGCATGAGCTTGAGTGGATGAGCAGTAAAGATACCTGATGTTTCTGTCACCTCCACATATCAGCTTCTAGTATGTTTACACAGTGTGTGTGTGTGTGTGTGTGTGTGTGTTTGTGTCTGTTTTAGGTGACCCGGACTTCTTCTGAGAGCATCACCTCTGTCCCAGCATCCAGCGCCTCCGGCTCTCCAAGCAGAGTCATCTATGTAAGACTGCACCACCAGGGGGCAGCAGCTGCAGATACATATGTGTTTGAAAATGATCTGTAGCATTTGTTTCTTACATATTAGTTCAACAAAGCTCTGACAAACAAGTTAACCATGTATTTGATTGCTTCATTCTTTCAGGCCAAATTAGGAGAGGAGATGCTGGACTACAAGGACCTGGCAGCTCTTCCAAAGACCAAGGCCATCTATAACATCGACAGGCCTGACATGCTGTCCTACTCTCCATACGTCAGCTACCCATCTGAGGAGAGGCACTACGGAGAGGTAGGCCAGCCTCTTCCCTTTCTCTGCTTTGTTCTTTCTTTTTTTTCCTCTTCTCTCTTTTCCAGTCGATTCCACTCAAGAACTCACCCATGAATTTATGGGCTGCTACATTGCTTTGAAAGATATAGTAATTAATATTTACATTTTAGATAAAAATATGAACTTATGATTAGCATTTGATATATGATGCATTCAATTAAATCAATTAAATTAACCAACTGCATATGCAGTAAACTTTGCCTAAACCAAATACAACACAGAAATGATGTACTTTATGTATTCATTAAATACATATATGTATGTATATATACAGTATATTTACTACATATAATGCATCATTTTATATATATCAGATAGAACATAATGCATGGTAAGCTTACACTGACAACCATTCTGCCTGCATTGTGAGCACATTTATAGCAGCTGCTGCTTCAATTGGTTTTATATTTCTGCATATTGCTGCAGTGATGTAGACGTGTACTCCAGGGCGTGGCCAGTACACCATGACATCACTGTTTGGTTTGGTTTTGGGTGCCACAGAGCGCAATTACCCAGAAGTGACGCTGTCTGTATTCAGAGCTGAAACAGACTGAAACTTTTTTTACCGGAGAGCAGAGAAACACTCTTTGAATGGTGGAGAGTTCCTCTTTAAATGCGGCTTACTGATGATATTTACATTTTGAATGCTAGACCTGTTACCTGTAGTGATACTTGAACATTACATTAGTGCATTTACTTTAATTAAGAATATTTCCTCCACTGTCTCATTCTTCCTCAAATTTGTCATGACATTTGACAAATTATGACATTCTAATAAGCCATCCTTTATAAAGTGAGTATAAGTTGTAACTAATGGCTTTATTAATGGGCCATAAAGTTGTTAATAATACTTTATAGATGAGTCATTTAAATGAACCTTTGGGTTGCCAGTTGGCTGGTGTTTTCCTCACCATACCACCTGCTTTGTTGTTTTTAGCTACAAGTGCTGCAGAGCATCTCAATCAAAATCCATTTACGAACACTTGATGTATTATTATGAAATTAATAGCTGACGACTTACTACTATATCAACTGCTATTGGTGTATTAGAATTTGAGAATTTATTTTTTTATTAGTTACCTTGACAGCTCATTAGAAACTGAGAAGTTACTGACTCGTTATTATTGACTTTATTAATGACTTATGACTCAAAGGTGTCCATATTAAATGTGTTGTCCTTAATAATTGTTTTGAAATCTAAAATGCATTACTTAATGATTAATTAACTAATAATAAAGCCAATAGTTTATCATAAAGAGGAAATGGTGTGAAAAGACAACAGATTAGAATATATGTGTAGAAGAGATAGTGATGTTTTGCCAAGTGATTAAATGTTTATTACTATTTTATATATTTAACACATAAAAACCGATAAAAACAGATTGCTGTAGCTTTGTGTAACTTTCCTTTCATAGCCTCTGTGTTGCCTTTTTTTAATTTCTCACTTTGCTATCCCTCCATCATCCACGACCACACGCTGGGTTTTCTCACACTTGACACATCCATTCCTCTGCAGTTCAGTCACAGCCTCAACCTGACCATGTAAACTGAACGGATCCGCCTCATTCATCTCATCCATCCACTAAAGAATGTCATTACTCACTGACACTGAATGATCACTCTCATGGTTGGATGGTTAACTCATATAATCTCTCATATGAGTTCGTCCTAATCATTGGCTTTCTCCCCCCTCTTCATTTGCAGTCCCCCCAGCTGCTTTCTCCTACTCCTACTGAGGTAACGTGATTCCCTATGTCTCACTGTGCATGTCACACATCACATGTCAAGTATTTGTTTGTGTAGGCTTTAAAATGTAGATCTTTAAAATAAGAGAAGTAGGACCTTTAAAGGGTTTGATATGTGTCAGTGGTCCATACAGATGCTGTCTGCTTTGATTAAAGCAGTTCATATGTTCTTGTGCTTAAAGGATTTCCAACATCATCGAGACAAGCTAACAGTTTAGCCATTTATCGAAACCATTTTATTTGGAGGTGAAACCTTAAATGTTTAATAATCCCTCATTCCATAGGAAAACTGTGCACAGCTCTGTTGTTGGAGGTCAAAGTTGAAGTTTTCTGTTGCAGCTTGTCTGACTGCTCTTGCCCCATAGGGGTTTGCTAGGGTGTGATATAGCACATGTATAGCCACAGAGTTTTCCATTCAACACATAATTCTATGTGTATTCACATAAGTCTGATGCTGTCCATATTGACGGCTACTGCTGCTGGCTGATACATAGGCAGGGTAAGAATAAGTGGCATCATCTTCCCACATAGTTATCTTGCCACCTAGCTACATCCATGAAAGGTAGCAACAGAAAGAAAGGCCACAAAAACACACACAGTGTGGGTGAGATTTTTGCAGCCGTTCAAGTTGAAGAAAATATATTTTTTTGTTTGTTTGTTGTTTTGACTCTTTAAAAAGAAGAAGTGTCAGTCTTCTGTGTTATCATGACGTTATGTTTTCCTTGATCCTTTGTAAGCCATGTGCAATATAATGAATCCATTTTATTAAGAGTGCATCAGAGATGGAGTCTTGCCCACATTTCTGTCTGACGCTGAGATGAAGGAATGAGTCAGGACGTGTTTCTCCGTAGAATGAACTGATTTATTTTATTATGTTTTGTGTTTGTGCATCCAGGGTGATGGGGAGAAGTCACCCCGTCAGAGAAGGCCCTCCAGTCCCAGCTCCAACAGCTCCCTGGGGGGCCATGGACGTTATACCCCATCCCGCTCCCCTCAAAATTACAGCCGAGCAGGTATCAGCCTCATATACACAGTAGTACACCAGAATCCATATAATGCTGTTGTCACATGAAAACGTCCAAGTTAAAGTATGACTTTCTAAAATACTGAAGGATTATATTACCCAGAAACCCATGCATATTCCATGCATTCTCATTGCTCTCACATCTTATTTATTTTCTCATCAGTAAATAATTGAGAATAATGTCGTGCAAAAGAAAAAAGTGGCAACTCAGAGGTTTTTTTCACTGTATATAGAAGAAAGCATCTGCTACAAACATTTTCTTTCATTCATCATTCTCAAAACCAGAAATGAAATGACATGCTCCTCCCTGGGCTGATTAAAATCTGCAGCCCTTATATTACACTGTCAAAACCCATTAGAGGATCTCAAACTAAGTCAAAGTCTGCTTTTGTATTTCCTTATAAAAATGTCACTTGACAGCAGAGATTCATTCCTGAAGTATATGTTCTGTTTGTTGTAAATCTTCCCTTTTGTTAGAATAAGATGATACAGTTTCCTTCAAAGCATAATATTTGTGGATTTTTCTCAAATCTACAGTAAATCTCTTAAAGCTCAATAATTGGTTTCATCCAAGGCATTTTGAAATACTGAGATCATGAGTCCAAGTCCCTCACAATGACTTTACCCCTCATTATTTAGCATTTATAAGCAGTATATAAACAGTAAATATCTGGTTATTAATACACTGTATTATCATTTTAAGCCAATATTAGGACATTTTATTCGAGTTTGAGAATGTGTTGTTCTACTATTTCTTTTCCTATGAATTATTTGTACCTGTTGTTCATCAGTGTAAACACCGTATAACAGCTGTAATCATATGTCATGATAATCACACATGAATAACACTGTGTTAAAAATGATTCAGTAACTGTGTTTATACGTGCACAAATGATTCACTAGTGGTTTTAAAACTGTAAACGTGTTCAGATTCACTGAGACGTGTTCAGCTTGAGGGTTTGATTCTTGACCAGGAAGTATCAAACAGAATGTGTTTGCTCAGTTGTCATGGAAAGTAATTAAGTATTTATAAATGAATGATCACTTTATTAGTAAATCTGATTAATAAATGTAATTAACTAATTCTTTATATTTCATCAACAAATAAGATATGAAAACATTTCAGTTGTGTTATACAGTATATCATCTTACAACTACTGCTTATTAATGGCATCTAGGTGCGGTCAAAATACAGTGCTATCCAATGTTTATAGTCTTGGCACAGATATCAATACCCAACCTTAGTTCTATAATGGTGTATTTTTGTTGGCCTAAAAGTAGTCAGATACTTTAAAATCGTCACCAACAAACAACAGAAAACAACTAAAACCAAATACAATTCCTGTTTCATTCATGTCCTGTAATGCTAATTGTCGAAAAGACTTGACTATGTATACATTGTATTTATTGTATACGTTCACATTTTCATCTAGTGACTCATCATGTTTCTGTGATCTGATTGGACATTCAGGGCCAGAGTTATACCTTGGCGATAGATACAGCAGCCAGGCCCGTGACTCCAGTTCTCTTCCTTTGCCCCCAGCCCTCATGGGTGGCATTAAGTACCCTTTCAACTGGGCCAGGGACTCATCCTCCCTCCCTGTTCACTATTCTGGTGGGACCGAAGGGAGTGGAGGTGGTGGTGGCGGCAAGTACTCACCCACACCAGCAGGTGGCAGTGCAGGCTTGTCTTTACACCTAAACCCCACCACCCTGGCCATGCTGAAGCAGCACAACTACATCCCTTACTTCAGAGGTATCAAAGCACGCTGAGACCAAGACCTGGTCCAATACAGACAAGGGACAAGTAGCTGGAATCATTGCTGTTGTCAAATCTTAGACAGACAAAAACCTCCAACCTTTCAAGAACTATCAAAAAGCTAATATTTGAATGGGAATTTAAAGTGCCCCAAACATGGGGTTTTCAACTTGCTACCCAACCAGAATGAGTTTTGCAATCCTTGGATTTAGGAACAGCAGCAATGTGCCAGTCTTCGCTGTATTTGACCGAGATCAAAGGTCCTTCAGAATGGAATGCTGTGATACAACCATTGAAATGAGTTCACTTGGCATGAGTTGTGGTTAAGCACCAAATTAACCATGTGTTGGAAACTCTCACTCTGGGTCTCTGGGTCTCTTGGTTCACCATAGACCAATGAGTCATAATGGGAAACAGAACATCTGACCTGGTGTGCTCTGTAACCACTGTTTGATCACTCATGAGGGTTTATTTTCTCTAATTCTTGAACTAAAGCCATGAAACTGCTAATGCTATTCATGATACCACACATCCGTGAAATCAACATCACAAACCAGTGCTGTACATATCCCCTGGTGAACCCAGCAGGAAGGCTTATCCAACCACTTCCCTTTGCTTCATCTTCTCCCTATCCCTTGATCTCCCTCACCCCCAGGGTTCAAACAGGACCCCCTCCCTGACCCTAAACCTAGGACTTCTCTGCATCTCAGTTTACCTCCTCCTGACGGTAAAAAAACCCAGTAGTCTTTCTCTTCTTTGTGTCCCCTGTCCCCTAGTGGAATGGTTAGCAGGCTTTGTGATGTTGTTGTCTGGTATCATGGTGTTGTTGGGTTCATGGGATGCATCAAGGTACATTCGTAGGACCACTCAGTTTTCTCACTCTGCCTGCCCTGTTCACTTGTGTCTGTGGACGTGGTTGTTGTCGTGCATGGTTAACTTGATGTAAACCTGAGTGTGACCCTGATACATTTGGCATTATCTTTGGGATGAAGATTGAGGGAGATTTCATTTTTGTGCTTGTCTGTTCAGATTGTTGACCTCATTGTTTGCCTGCCTTTGACTTCTAATCTACCCTGTTGTTTTTCCTTGTTCATTGTTATGTGTCAAACTTTATCCCCTTGATGTTACTTGTTCTTGTCCTTGGTGTGAATCTTTACAAAGTGCAGATTTTGGGTTTTGATGACTGACAAAATGCACATGGAGGTTTGCAGGCAGGGTGACAAGTATAATTGTTGAATTCTGTTGTTTTTGACAGAAGCACAAGTAAGTACATTATCGACAAATGGATTCCTTAGAAACAATTCTCCTGACCAAACCACTGATGAATAACTGAATATTTTAACTGCAAGTCAAGGAGATAATACAGTGGTCCTGAGAGTCAAAATACAACAACATTTCAGAAAACCCATAATTTTAAACCAATCTGGAATGTCCCTGACTGACTGACTGACTGACTGATATTTCCACCACTGGTCAGTCAAGTGCCTCGTCACTGAGTTGGAGTCTCTGGATCAAACAGGTTCTATTTGGGGGGTTTACGGCTGCAGCTCATTGTCTCTAGATTTAGAGAATTTTTTCAAACACACTGGGTATCAACCTGGTTCAGGTCTGGACCATGTATGGATGCTGTTCGGGCTGCACCTCTTGTCACAGGCAGTCTACTAAGCAGGGAAGAGGAGGAGTGCTTCCAATACACTGAGCCTTGCCTCCATTACAGCAAATAAACTACTTTGATTCCATGTATCATTATTACTAAAGGAGGCAGAGGAATAACTAAACATAAAACACACCGAGCAGAGAGAGCAGGAGAGAGGGAGGGAGAGAGAGAAGTCATTGGTAACGAGGCTTCGTACTAACGACTATGACCAACTCTCAACATATCAAACAAAGGGAGTTAGACATAAAGACCTGCCTCTAATGAAAGTCTGTTACATTCTGGAGTTGAAGTAAATAAAGACATGACTATTGTGGATCCAGACAGACTAAATAAGAAAGGTAGTCTGTCGCAGGGTGTCGATAAGGAATAATAAAAATGAATTTAAAAAAATAAAATAAAATAAGGAAGAAAGGAAGAAAGGAAATAAGGAAGGAAGGAAATAAAGACGGAAGGAAGGAAATAATAAAGAAAGGAAGGAAGGAACGAAGGAAATCAGGAAGGAAATAAGGAAGGACGGAAGGAAGGAAGGATAGAAGGAAATGATTTGCTCTTGTAGCTGATGTAGGTGGATGTTGTTGTTTACCAAAACTACACTATACTATACTAAACTAACTATAAAACTAACTATACTAGAAAATGATTTTGATGCTTTTGTCTAGACATTCAGTGTGAAAGCAATCGACAGAAATGTAAGTATTCTGTTATTATTTCAATTTCCTCTTCCATCCTTCAAGCTAATGATTAAATAATCATTCAAATTCATGCAAGGACACTGCTGAGAGTAGTCCACAGTAGAAACAGGAAAATTACATTGAGCTGTCACCAGGGACTTTGTTGTGTTGTTCCACATTTTCCATAACCTGAAATGTTGTTGTGTTTTCCCTCATATAAATGGTTCCTCGAGGACCATAAAGTTCTTATGTAGTCTCATTTTCGCTTATAGAGAACCTTTACCTGAAAAAGGATGTTTGTACTTTATAGAACCCCAACAAGTTTTTCTAACTTCATGCATGCACCTTGAAAAGGACTGATTAAAATGAGGCAGTAGAGAGGGAAACAGTATGAGCTTCCACTCAGAGTTTTGCACATAGTGCTCTGCTGGCCCTGTTCAGGCCTTAGTGGTTCCTAACATGCCATGAAAGAGGGCTATTTGTTTTCATGCAACAGGCTTAATAACTTAACGAGCTTTAAGGAGCTATCAGGTTCACTAATAGAAGACACTGTGGTAGTAAGACTGAACAGTATTCAGATGAGTTGTCTAATGATGGAGGTTGAAGGAGAGTTGAGGAGAGGACATTGTGACATTTTGTTAATGATCCTAAAACCATTGTTTCTATCTCGTTATAGTGTTGTTGGTTTCTGATTAATGAATGGACTGTGCCTCTTGTCAAGTGTCTAATCTGTTCAGATGGATTATAATGCATCTCCCCCCAAATTCCCTTCCCCTCCTACCTTGGCTCCAGATGTTTGTATGCAGGATTTGCCCCACAATGAGACCTGCACTAACAGTGGTGTGTACGTGTGTGTCTGTTCCCAGGCATGTGTGTGTGTGATAGTGTGTATGTGAGGGAGATCACTCAGACCACCACTAACAGCAGTGCTGTTTGTGTCAGTGATCTCATCCACTTGCATCCAGATCTCACCCGATGGTTCCTCTCTGTCTGAGGCCGTCTCACACACACACACACACACACACACACACTCACAATCTCTCTCTCACTGTTTCTTCCTCAAAATTCTGGGTGTGCAATGTTTATTACTTTTGGCCTCAAGGGTGTCAGTGACTCCATCACCTAGCCTGCTTATGACTTAACACAATGTGGACCCTGGTTGTGATAAACGATCCACGACACATATGCATGAACTTGAATGGGAAAGTGTTCTCAGACTTTTGGACCCCACTGTATATCGCAAAATGTTTGGAAAAAAAAAACTGGAAAAACATAATATAATTACTGGGTATCAAAATGAATGATGGGCTGCTGTCAGTACCATTATTTTGGCACCTTAAATCACAGTGAAACTGTAGCAGCTCAGACATTATTGTGGTTTTCAACTGTTAACTGTTAAATGATGAGAACAACGTCTCTCAGGTAATCTCTCCAGGTCCATTCTCAGTGAATCATTGCCATGGTGACTGACACTAACGGGTTCAGTGCTACCACATTTGCAAGAACCTAAAATCTGTCTTTAAAGTGAAGTTGGAAAACTCTTGCATACAGTCTTTGGGGCTTCAAGCTGTTTTATAATTAAACTGAAGAGCTGTTCAGAACAATAGCACCTTCTCTCCGACAGCTGTTTTCAGACATCTCCAAAGCCAGCGATCTTACAGTTTAGTTTTGTCTCTGCAAGTTCTGAATGAATCACTTCAGCAGCTTCCGTTCATCACTTGAATGGCTTCAGTAAATAAAATGAAGCAGGACTGAAGCAGATAGATAACCTACGGCAGTCTCTCACCTTACCAGCAAACCTCTTGTAGAAAGTTCCCATCTGGCCGTTGAACTTCTTGCTCTCAGAGACAGACCTTTGAATAACCTTTGTTGCCATTGTTGATTGTTTAATTTAAACATATCAATTTAGTGTAGGAGTAACATGTGGTCCCATTGGCTCCTTCAGACCGTAAGCTCTGATATGTTGTGGAGCAGTTTGACTGGGGTGGTACACCTGTAACGCAGGTGTCCTAAGGTGAGCTCTGGAGGGACAGACAATGCTCACTTGATTTTCAGAACAAATACAGCCAAGTGTTCATAGAGACGTTGTGTTTTGATGCTTTGATGTCTGCTGCTTGTACATGCATGTGAATGCATCATCTCTAGCCTTACAATCTGAATTCCTCAGGCAGACTGTGCAGACCCCACCTGTTCCTCCACATAAATGTCCCACAGCTAATTTACTGGCCTGTCTTCACTCCAACCTTCACTTCTAGACTATACAAGTAGCTCTGTGAAGGGTGGGTGCTCTCAATCTATGTAATTGTTTTAGCTTTTAAGATGCTGTTGCTTTGCAATGAGAAGGGCCACAAAGAAATGTTTGAGGCACAGCATAGATGCCCTCCTGTGGAGGTGTTCCAATGTTCCAGACCTGAGACTCTGGACAATGTTGGTAGGAAAAAGGACGTTTTGGCTGAGGGACAACATGGTGCATTATCTATGCTAAAGTGGTAGCATCCAAATTTGTACAGGGTGATTTTTGTGTCTCATTACTTAACAGGTCACTAGACCAGGAAGATTCACTGCCAGATGTTCAGTTCATTTGCTCAAGACCGTACAGTAAATATAAACACTGTGTATGGCTGGGTTATCAAGTCACCTGTCTCATTATATTAATTACAGCAACGTGTTTGAGCTTTATCAATATGCTTACCATAATGCTGCCTTTTTGCCCCCCTCCCCCCAATGCCCTTTGTTTTCTCCCAAACCCTGTCCCTCTTGCCTTTCATATCCAATGCCCATCCACCTCCATCCAAAACTGGAGGTAGTGAAAGTGGTCGAAGTACCCCCAGCTTATCCACCTATTCTGATGGCAAATCCCCCTCATCTACCTCTACATACGTGGCTGCTCCCCGGCATTTCCACATACCAGGTAAGCCATAACCACAGCGCTTAGCTTGCAACCCGACTTTTAACCTTTCCTGCACCTTTACACATTCTATAGAGTGACACGGAGGGGGACACCAAGGTAAGATACATAGCAAATTACCAAAACTACAGAGCACTGCTTCACTGACCTCCTGTGTTTGAAGGTTTTAAGTCTGTTGCTGTTTATACCCACAACACTCCACTCCTTGCACTGCAGCAACATTAAAACTTCAACCATCGGAGGTGATCTAGTGCAACATTTACAGCTGGTATTAAGATACTGACTCCGTCTTTTACTTTTCAGTGAATTGGAACTCTGTCCTTCCAGGTACATGCAGATAAGTCTTGTGAAGCTATAAATGGATGTTTGGTATCAAGCTGTTTGTATTGGGCCTCATGTAAGAACAGTTTCTATAATACAAAAAAAGAAGAACTTCACAGTGTGGAGCTTGAAGTCCTGCTGTTGGAAATCAGTAGACAAAAACATGGAGTAGTGTCAGTAGTGGTATAAGGGGACTCATACAGTGACAGAGATAAAGAACAAAAAGATTTACCTGATGACAAGTTTAAATATTTACATCATTTAAAAACTTAACATTTTCGGACTTTATTACTGTAGACCTATTACTGTACTGTAGATTTTTACAGCAGCAAATCGCTCTTAAACTCCTGTCTCTCCTGTGCTCAAAGTCTCTCTGCCTCGACATTTTCACCTTTCTGCTCTCCTTCCTGTCTGAAGAAGTTGTAGGATTATTCCTTCAAACTGACACTGATGTATCTAATGTACAATATAGAGGATAAATATCTAGAAATCACTTCTATGGTAATCTTCATCATCATTAGGTGACAATGTTACCATCAACCAACAAGGCAGAATCCTGTATTTATCTGCCTCAGTGTTGGCTCATAGACTGGACTGTAGTTGAAGCACAGGGGAGACATGGGAACGTGGGTCTAGAGAAGTTATAGCATTTATTTACTGACAGATATCCTAAAGTGCACATACATTGCGCTGCTACGTTCACAGCTGTACTGCTAACTACTAACTCTCTGCTCCGGTCACCAGCCTCACCGCTCTCTCGCTCGCCCTCTGTCTCTCTCTCCTGCTATGCACACATCCTACGTGCTGAGCGAGTCCTCAGAGAAGCTGCTCTAATCCTGTAACAATATTCTTGCACTCAGATGATAAATCAGTGTCATTTGCTCATTTACTTGCTGCTGCTGCTGCCTCTTAACACTCAGGAAGAAAAGACTGTGGAAGTGTGTGGAGGTTTAGTTTCCTTCCACATCTGTGCATAACGTATAATGCATGCAAGATCAGGACGGTGGAAGCTGAGTCATGGTTAGAGCACACTTTGACCATAGCTAATCACCGCTCAGATCCCAGGATTATCCTCAATGCACAATCGCCAAAAAATGCTGCTCCCCGCTCCGCATGACAAGCTCCAGCCTTTGTCGATGGGACATAGTCACACCCACGCAAATGACAGAAACTAGAGATACAACGGCTGCCAGTCAAGCTAGCTTCAGAGACAATACCCTGCTGTCACCACAAGAGGGCAGTAAATTATATTGATATCTGTTTTAGCTTTAACTGGGCAAACACTGCTCACTTTGCTATCCCTGACGGTACACCTCTGCCGGAGACTACAATCGCTGAAGCAGGCAACGGCTACAGAACCTTTAGACGCATCCATCAGACTGTACATTAGTCGATGATTCATCACGTGTTCTCAATCCATCTTCTCGCCTATAATCACTGGTTTACTGGTGAGAATATAAAAACAGATGTTTGACTTAACAATAGCAATGACTTGAAAGGAAATCAGACTTTCTGCACTTTACATGACGTGTATGATACATCTGGATGACTGTGAATTTGTTCATGCCTAAAACCAAATTCTAAGTATGAGAAAGTTGATGAGTTCCACAAGTTCTCTGAAATCAGTCATTCATGTCACCTCAGATTGAATTTGTTTGTATGAGTGGTTCTTGCATGAGGCCCATTGTCTTTACTTTAAAGTGTTGACTTACTGCCTTTAGCTTTTGGGTTGCACTCTGTATATATCTCTTGGACTCTTTCATTCCTTGTGTCCATACTGTTTGCTTATTTCTAAGCCCTTTCTTTTTCTCACAGATCTGGCATGAGATTGCATCACTTAAATTAATTCAATTTGAATTCCATTTGCAATACATTTGGCCAGGATTTGACAATAGCCAGTGTATCCGTCATTACTTAAAGTCTCTCGCAGAGGAAAAGCCATTTGATCCAACATATTGTTCCCATTGACAATTACACTGTCAGTCATTGCAGAGGGAAAAAAAAACTTCCCAAGTTGGAAGCAAGTTAAGTGGAAAAAACAGCCAACCATTATCCACTTATTGTTTCAGCCGCTGACAGGCACTGAAACAACAAGAGAAAGTACCCACATGCGTTATTTCATTGTGAGTCATGTTTCTGCTGTGGATTCACGTGTGACAGTTGTTAGTAAGCGTCTCTGTCAGAGGCCTGTCTGGGTCCACTGACACTGAGATGGAAGAGCTCAGCCTTTTATCCTCCAGAGGCACGTCATCTAACAGAGCAGTTAATGCAACAAGGCTTGAATTAACTTTCTCTTTTGTTGTATATTATTAATTTAGGTCCCTTTTTTGAATGATTTAAGAACACTAATACATATAGACTGTTTGATGCCTGGCGCCCATGTGTGGTTTCTGATATTATTCTTTGAATGTCATTGAATTGTTCTGCATCAGATAACCTCCTCCAACAAAGAGTAATGGTTGATACATTTTGAATATATTGCATGAATAGTATTAAAAGTGGTGATGTTTCTGATGTGCGTTAATCCAAATGAGAAATGTGTTGAATCCAGCTCTACTGCGCCCCCTATGCTTCTTCAAAATATCTCATCCCTCAATAACTGCTAACTCATGCTTCTTTTTCTCCATTTCTCTTTCTTTCTCTCCCTCCCTCCCATGTTGGCTTCTTCCGTTTTCTTTCCTCTGCATCTATTCCCATTTTCAGAGACTATGGTCAAAGATAATATCTATAGAAAACCCCCCATCTACAAGCAGCATGGTACAGTCCACTTCCTCTTTAACACTTCCTTCTCTGGTCTGGTCTCTGCACGATGTGTTGCATGTCACCTGTCGTACTCCACCCATTCTATGTTGTAAAATGGACTTAATGGGCCAATTCAAGGTTGACCATTCAGACGGAGTGGTGTCAGTGCAATGCAACTCCGTGGTTCTGCAGACAGAAATCTATGGTACCTGTGGGTACCACTCGTCTGACTGGGTGTTCAGACCGAGGGTGTAGGTTTGCTTTTGTCTTTGGCATGGATTTTTTGTCAGATGGTCAAAATATTATTATTGATATACTTGTTCTCTGTCTGAAACAACAACTCAAGAGTTTCATGACGGAGCCACAGTGATGCTCAAACTCATCTTTCAGTTATGTCAGCAAACTTTCACGGTGACATCAGAGCTCACCTGAGAGCCTGCAGCTCTCTGTGTTGCTCGGGCTGCTGTTGACCAGATTTTGAGAATTGAATGATGCCTGACATTAACAACCAAATCAGTAGTGGTGTGGCGGTTAGGGTGGTAGATGGGCATGTAGTGCATCACTTTAATGATGGAGACCGCACCACTGCAATCCAACAGTTAATGCTGTCTCCAGGAACTTTCCCTTAACTTAATATGATAGGTGTTTAAATTGTCCAAAGGCATCAATATGCCTCAAAATACGTATGATGCCATATTTATGGGGACCACACAGCAATCTCTGTCATTTCCAAAACACACATTCCCACAAACACGTTCACTTCACACAGCAGATGGTCAGTGTCTGTGAAGGTAAGAATGTCTGAGTCTGGACTTTTCTCTAAAGCTCATTAAACCCTCACACAACTACCTCCATCAGTTTTCATGCCTTCGAGGAGAGACCGATGATTTGCGCCATCCTATTTATGTGATTGTTTGCATCACGCCCCTCTCTATGACGGCCAGCACCACCCTTGAGTATCAAGTTATCAACCTGTGTGGTGATAGGGGTTGGCACAGAGCTTGAGTAAAACAAAGAAGAATTTAATAAGTAGGGCACCAGTGATTTCACCCTCTGTCTCAATGATCACAGTCATGGTCTCGGTTAAAACCAGTGAGCGGGCTGTTGTTTTTCCAGGCTGTGCTAATGCTGGTCTGAACAAGGCCGACATCACAAGATAGAGCTACAAAAATAATAAAGCGCTTTACCCCACCCTGATAGAGATGTGATGGGTTTATCTCACATCATGTTCAGGTCCTAGTTATGGACACTTTTCCACTGACAGGCCTAAACAAGAAGATTTCCATAACTTTGTCCTCTTTTCCCAGTTTGTCTCAGCTACATCAATCAGAAACAAAAAGTCCTGCAGTATGTTTCAGTATGAACTAGAACAAATGTTAAATATAATAAACAATAAACATAATATCATTTCATTTCATGCCATTTGAAACCACCATCCTACTTTAGCTTTAAAGGTTAAAATGACTCTCCATCATTACATAAAGCCAACAGCACTGTTGCACTGCTCCCTACAAGCTGGAACATTCAAACATGCTGCATGTCTGGGAGCAGAGGTCATGTGACATCACTGATCTGGTTGTTGTCAGACATTTAACATGTTTAAAATGATCAACCTCTAGAGGACAGTGCGGCAGCAGTGGTAGATACTTCGAATGAACTAGTGGAAAAATGCTCTTTGATCAGGGTCTGGAGGTGAAATCGTTATAGAAACAATATTAAAAACACATTGCCCCAAATGTCAGTGTCTAATTTGGCGTCGCAACACAGCGGCTCATTGATAATCCAGCTCCTTTGGGACTGGAGCTGATTGGGAGGGGGGGCCCTTAGGTGTTAATTTGCTCACCCTGTTTCATGCATGTCTGCACACATCTCACCAGCTCATGTGTTGGTTTTAGTGGTGATGCCGTGACTGTTTGTACACTGTGAGTAGCTCAGCACATGAATCACTTTGTATGGTGGCATTAGTGTCGTACCAATCTATGTGTCCCTCCCCTTACTATTGTTTGTGTGTCTAAATGATGGTGTACAGTTTTCACTGTGTGCACAGGACCGGGTCACTTAAAGCACACTGACACAGGAGTCCAAGGAACCTGTTCTCTCCTCTTTTACACAAGGAAATATCCATCTTGATCAAATATGTGAAATACATCAGCTGCATGGCATAGTCCTACAGAGTGAGGCTCCCTCCTCTGAAGTAAAGATCTCTCCTGCACAGTTTCACCTTGGAGCTGTGTAAAGTGACTTTGAATAGGCTTTACATTACTTTATAGGAATTTGGCCCATTGCTCATGTTATCTGTTATCTTAAGTTATTTGGATACCTCTGTCTAGTGTACATGCTAAGGCTTTAGCATGCAGTATGTTAAGTGATCATATGTGTTTACCAATGTCACACAGTCAGTAATCTGTGCACAAATGACTAGTTCATACTGTCCAGTGTGTGTGTGTGTGTGTGTGTGTGTGTGTGTGTGTGTCTGTGTCATCATGGCAAAATGTGATCCTTGAGACAGCTTCTCTAGCAGGAACTACGCGAGCTGGTGTAGAGGACTGTAGCAGGTGTTTATGTCTGTGGACAGACTTTGTCACCGTGACAGCGTCGCAGTTATCAAAGATACAGTCACTAAACTTTACCGGTGTGTACGTGACATCAAAATGAAGGCAAAGTTTGAAGATGGGTGTGGTCCAACCCATCAGTTCTGAGTGGTCATGTAATAATGTAGTAGTTAAGTACTCATGTGATAATAATAACTACTGGGTAGTCATTGGTCGATACGTCAACCTGTTGACAGGTGTTGCAGCTGGTGTGATCCCATCACAACATTGTCTCTAGTTAATTAATACGCACATAACACAACACTAAGTAATAGCTGACATATTAACATACAGTATGTTGAAGGTATGTCAAAGGCAACACAGTTTTGTTTAACAAGCTAACACATCACGTTTACAGTATATACTGTACAGGTGCAGGTCCAAAATTTAGAACAAAACTGCATTAAATCCAAGGGGCTCGGTTTTATATAAATATCTCCTTGGCCTGACAACCTGAAAACAGTTTATTTAACAGGCTAGGTTTATTAGGCTACGCAGTGGCATATGTGCAGATAACTGATAGCTAGCCTGCTATAATCCGACAACATTAATAAGAAGAAATAAAGTTAGCGATTGTAGGCACCTGAATACTGAAACATGCTGGGTGTTCCTTGCTAAACTGACCAGAGTAGCTGCAACCTGCAACTTCAGTTCTGTTAAGTAAGTTTAAATGTATTGTTCAGTGCAGGCTCTTAGATTTAATGCAGCCTTGTTTTAATTTTGGACAGGTATCATTAGATCCATCTTTGAGATTCCTTACTGCGATCACTAACTCAAGAGCTTGAAAAAGCGCGTATGCACGATTTATTGATTCCACAGGAAGGTTTATTAATTGCATTATTATGTGTGCACAATTTTTTTTCCCCTTAACACCTGCTGGGCTTCATAGTTATGAAGAGCTACAAGACATAAGATAACAGGGTTTAAAAGTTTACCATCAGCTGCTAGCTCCTGCTAGCTCCTGCTATGCTGGTTACACCCCACAACTTCATTTGGAACCAACAACATACTGAGAATTTTGCTGTTGTAGGAGTCTTACCAGTAGTGGAAATCAAACTTTTACACTGATGGAGCTGCTGAAGAAACAGGCCCAAAATCATCCTGTGTGGAACATGGATGCTCTCAGTCAGTCATAGCACTCTAGTTTTTTATATATTTTTTAATTTTTGGAAGTAGAGTAAAAAAACAGAAACGGAAAACCATAAGGACTTCTGGACATTCATTTTTACAATGAAGTGTCCAGGAAAAAGTGTTTGTTTAGCAGAATGGCCAGAGGTTCAAATTATTTGTTATCATCCTCATGGAACCTTAAATATCCAAACGTCATAGTATCGGCTCTGATGAACAGTGCATACACCAGTGTGTAGTGTAACCCTTTCAAAACAATGTTGATGCAAATGTTAGTGGTTGCTATCCACCCTGTTTTATTGCACATTCACACAGTGCATGTGGAGCTCCCTGTAGATGCCGTCTGCAACTGATGATGTCACGGTGCAGGAGCGATTTACAGTAGCGTTACAGTACAGTGGAGCTGAGAGGCAGATGATCCAGCGCGTTAACTGTGACATCCTGTAACATGTGACTGTTTTGCAGCTTCTAGAACCTCCTGGCAGGATGGGGAGGATAGTAAGGTGGGTCTGTGTGTATGTGCATGTCTTTATCTGTCTGACCATATCTGTCTCTTTTCAAGTCATTTTCTTAAACTTTACAAACACTGTACATCCATTTACTAATTCAATAACTCATACTTTGCCATCATCCATCACTTCTTTCCATCTTTCTGTCTCTGTCTCTCTCTGTATCTTCCTCTCTCCCTCTCTCTGTAGAGGACCAGTTGGATGATCTTGAAGAGTGAGATTGAAGGACATATGGGTCCAGAAGACCTGGACCCTCGCAAGTCCACCTGTAGTCTGCCCACTGACACCTCCCAGCCAAGTGAGTAGCTAATCACAAGCTCAGCCCAATGTGAGTGATATGAATAAAATCAAATGGATCTTGAACAGTAATTCAAGTATGAAAAGAGATGCTTTTCTTCTCTGCAGATTTCCCCTACAATAAGTCTGCATCTTTACCCGGATATGGAAGGAATGGCATCTACAAGGTGAGATAAAACATGATGTGGTAGGAAATAAGGACTTACATTAAACAGTTCATGGTACGTCCTGTAACTTAGATCAGCCAAAAATACCAGTGTCATTGTACCTGTGCTTCCTCTAGTCACCACTGGAAAGGACACACTGCAACCATTAGTCCATGCAATATCTAAAACTGATCCACAGGCAAAGACATGCTCAAAATGACCATGTCTTGTTTTGTAGACACATTTTTAAATACACTTACACATTTCCAATGACAGCTTAACAATAAAAGCCACAGTGTGTTTCACCGGTTGAACACTGTTCTCATAAGTCATGAGATCTCAGATCTCAGAATGCAGCAACTTTAAAAACAGCTTTAAACTAGCCAACAGCGATCTCCATCCAGACTAACACACCTGAAAACACATACCTGAGCAATCATGTACACTGGCCGTGTGTGAGCCGATGTAAACAGGAAGCAGATTGTCTCCTCTGTAGTTGATTAGTTGCACAAAATACTACGAACCAGGAACAGCTTCATTAATGAGAGAGTTTTCTGAGGTGTTGGGAGGATCTGGCAGCTGTTGCCTTTGAGGCCACTGGGGGGTGCTGCTTATAGTAGTCAATACATCTTCATGTGTTTTACATGAAAGTTTTATCAAATTAACACACACAAATCACCACCGCCGCAGAACCTCCCACTCTCTGCTAAACAACACTGGAAAGTTCAGAGTAGCATTTAAGACCATTTAAAACGCTCTGTCTGTTTGGGTTCACCTGGTAGAGCACGTAGCATTAAGGCTTAGTCCTAACCACAGCGGCACAAGTTCAAAGCCAACCTGTGGCCCTTTGCTGCAGGTCATCCCCACTCTCTCTCTCTCTCTCTCCCCAGCTGTCCTGTCTCTCTCTGACTGTCACTATAATAAAGGCATAAAGAGAATGAAAAAAAACCTACAAAAAATAAATAAATTCTGTCTGTTTTAAAAATCAATTTCCTGGAGCCTTTCTCTCACAGTTTTGGTATCATTACACAGAGGTCAGTCAGGAATGCCCACACACACAGGGCCTGGTTCATCACGAGGCCAATGGGGATATTTAGTCTATCATCCCGCATTGGGACATTGCTTCTCTCCTTCTGTGATAGTTGATGTTTAGAGGACAAGCAGACAAAACAGGATGGAGAAGGAAATAGGAGCTCAGGAGCTGCAACAGATTCATGGCCCAAAGTATCCTTAACCACTTTCACTCGCTGATATTACTGCTCAGTGTTGTTGACGTGGTGGATTTAGTGTTGGAAGAAGAATACATGTGTGGCTATGCTGACATTATACTGTTACCCTTCTGTGTAAGCACATGCTCATACACGGAATGGTATTCTGCTCAAACTCTATTGAAAGTTGAACTGAAATGAATAAAACTGATGGCACTAAAGGAAAAGCTTTGAACAGCGTGCACATTACTTTTCTAGTTAGTGTCTCCCTCTTATACAAGCGTCAACGCATCTTGTGTCGCACTTTGGCTTGTTGAACTCACAAACATCCATTATGGGAAATGGGCTAAGCTAATGTTAGCTTGCAGGCCAGGTAGGTAATTAGCTAGTCAGCTGTAGCACAGTAGTTTAAAAACATACCTTTAAAGGTAAAGATGAGTCAGTTCAGATACTGAATTGTGTGTCTTCACTCTTCAACTTGTCTGCCCATAGCTTCTTAGCTACAGTTACAGTCCGAGTCTTTAATGTTGCGTCTCCATGCCCGTGCCAGAACATCTGTCAGTCAAATTTAGCAACAGCCCACACACTCTTGGAAAAGGAGCGATCGTGATTTTAGTTGGACTTGAAGACTAAAAATACAAATCAATAACTCGACTTTGGTGTTTTGAACAGTCACCCTCAAACCAGATTAGCTCTATTAGTGGACCAACAACAAACATTTTGTGACATCATGATGTGCGTCCTTCACTCCTCAGTTGCCTTTTAGTCTCTCCAAACTAAGTGATGTAATCTCAGTGTCAGAGGAATCACACTCGCTTCCTATTGGTCACCATGAAAGAATGTGAGCAAATCAAGAGCAAAAGCAGTGACTTAAAGGCTTTTAGATCAACCTTAGCTTTGATAAAGTCCAGAAATGTTCCTGGCAACATGAAGTAGGACATCTGAAAGATGGTCTAACTGTGTGTCTGTTTATGTGTGTGTGTTCCTGCAGGCTGCAGAGATGGTGGAGGATGAAGTGGACCCAGACTCCCAGAGCTGGGGAGGAATGAGAGGTGAGAGGGAAAATGAACTTCGAGCTGTTTATCACCTCTTTTTTACTCTGTTGTTGGTTTGCAACTTTTTTTTCAATGTGGCACTGAAGGTGCATCGACTTATTGTTTTAGATCTACTCCAGCACTTGGTGGGGTCTGAGGTTAAAGTTCTCACTGTAAGCTCTGAGTGTGTTTCAGGTTTCAGGTTGTGTTTCATTTTTCATTAGTTAATTCATTGATCTTAATCATACACACATGGCATGACCTAGGAGGTTCTATGGGCAAACACTCGAATGCCAGTCACCTAACCTTAATCCAGCTGATCATGTGGTTCGCTGCTGAAGACCAGACTGATGTTCAAAGGCCCTAATACCAACAGGAATTGATGTTGGCTGCTGACGAATGGCAGATCATCTGCTGATGTCTGTGGTTCACTTCAGACAGTCACTGACTGCAAAGGACTGCAGTAATGTGTTAAATACAATGACTTCATTCCAGTTTCCAAGTTGTTGTTACTTTCTGTGCCGTAAAATGAGGGAATAATGTGTAAGATATATGAACAGAGATGCACTTCCTTTATCATTATTATTATTTATTTATTTATACTGTAGATGGGAACTAGAGCTGAAATGAATTGAATTGAAATGAAAATGAATTTTATGACATTACATTAATAAAATTGTTTGGTGTAAAACAAGAAAATTAATCAATTCTGAAAACAATTAGATACAGTCCAAGTGTGAATGCCTTTAAAAGAGAGTTGTAGAGTTGGTGGAACTACTTCTGGAAGCATTTTTCCCACTAAAGACCATCTCAAAGTTTTTTAATAACATCTTCAATGTTAATCACATTAAATTCTCTAATCTACCTTCATTTGAAGAAAGTCTTTGTTAAAGACAGACAGATGTCTGTATGACTTCAGACCATGTCAGGGCACAGATATAAATGTTGAATGACATTCATCTGAAAACTAATTCTGGGAAAACATCAGTGCTGTATTTCAGCCCTTTGTATCTCTGATTATAAATAATTGTTGACAGATTGGGAGATTGGGGGGGATCATCTATCCAGTCCTCAGATGGTTCAGATTTTATTTTGAAGGCAGAGGCTAAGTTGTTGCCATTGACAATCACTAGAGTCCCCCACGGTTCAATTCTTAGTCCTCAACAACAGTGGTTCTCAAAGTGAAGTCCGTCCACCCCACGTTTTGAGGGTTCTTGGGGGGGTTCCTGCTGGTCCTTCTGCCAAGTGCGGTGGCTGCGGTATCTATCGTTTTAAAGACAAACCTATAAGTAACACAATGACTATTTTGCCCATGGGTTTCAAACACTTTCTGTAATAAAACATCTAAAAGTGATTGGACATTTCTTACCAAAATAATAAATAGGAGTTAAAGTTAACTTATCCAGCTTAGTTCCCATATACTAAGTATTTTTAATTTGCCTTTTAAATCAAAAGATCGATTTTTTTTTTTTATCACAGTTGCTTATCTTTCGCTCTGATGTTTCAAGCAGGATAGTTTTCTGTCCAACCAAGCTTCGGTTACGCTTAAATGTCAGTCACCTCACACTATCTGGGACCCTGGACTCCAAAAGATACCTCCTCTCACTTTACAACTCTATTGTTGCGAAGAGCCACAGACTCCACTCAAAGGACCTCTTCCTCAGACAATAGCCTCAGTTAAAATCAGACCCTACTAAATGGGACAAGGCCCGTATCATCTTTCCTCTGATCCATCAGATCAAAGGTCAGTTTATAATCGTTGCCCAAGCATGCAGAGCCCTGCAGCTCTGGCTCCAGAACAGTGACTGGAAGTAACAGTGTGGAGAGGTGATGCCATTTTTCCAGCTGCAGAATTATTGCTGTTTGTTTACAAGTGTGTGTTTGTACAGTCTTGGCTGTGTCTTAAGCAAAGAGTGAGTTGGCCGGATGCCAACCTCATAACAACGTGTGTGTGTGTGTGTGTGTGTGTGTGTGTGTGTGTGTGTGTGTGTGTGTGTGTGTGTGTGTGTGTGTGTGTGTGTGTGTGTGTGTGTGTGTGCAGAGCAACCGTTTATATTGTTTTTGACGCCTTTGAAACTCAGTATTATTGAGAAGATGTGGGTCCAGGGTCTGGCTCTGTTATAGTAGTTTTAACTCATTGTTCCACCAGATTCATTCTCTCTCTCTCTCTCTTTTTCCCCTCTCAGAGTACAAGGTAAGAGTTTTTTAATACTTTACAAATATACTTTAATATTCTTGGCAGCTTGGTTCGGACATTGGATTATAAATGTATTCCCCAATAACTCTCCCACAATGCTTACTTTGTGTGTGCCAGGTCTACCCTTATGAAATGCTGGCAGTGACACATAGAGTGAAAGTGAAGCTTCCCAGAGATGTAGATCGCACCAGACTGGAGGTGAGCTCTAATCTTCTCCCTGCTCTGTCATTTCCCCTCTTCTATCCACAGGTCATTAAAAAGCCTGAGAGGAAGTGAAATTGTGGCCTATAAAAGTCAAACTTACGCAGTAAGCCATTTAGGATAAAGCCAACAACCACAGCTTGAAGAAGTGCCATCTCCAGTTTTTGTAAAGGTGGATAAATTATTGCAAGTTCACTGCATTTTTCAAATACATACACTGTATGGCCAAAAGTATGTGGACAGGAGTGTGTTTCATATGGTCTACTGGTCTTGATCTGTTTTTGTCGGATCCCCTAACCAGCTGTGTCCAGCAGTTTTTGTGATGTTTTGACAATCTGACAATCACACCCACTTTATCCAGCTAGTTTTAAGGTGTTAAAGTAGACCAAACGTCAATTTCTTTTTTAATGATAAACATAAACGAAGAATGCTATATAAGAGAAACTGTCCAGAAGTTTGTAATACTATTTGCATTTCTGTGATCCAGTTTGGTCATTGTGCAGTCCATACTGATGGTACTGTACAAAAAGACAGGAAAAATTCAGTGCTACTGAAATTTATGAATTATTGAAGATCCCATAGTTTCCTCTTCTCCTGTGTTTTATTTTAAGTGTTGATCCATTAGAAGATATATTTGTGGTTTTAAGAACCAAAAACCATCTCAGTGTAGTTTTACATCTCCTCTCTCAGGCTTCTCTCTGGAGCTGGTCGGTGAGCCAATCAGAAGAGAGGAGGCTCTGAGCCTCTCTTCTGATTGGCTCACTGACCAGCTCCAGGTTACGGACTGTAGCCTACTGCTGTAGCTTGTAAATGGTCCGTCAGCACTGAAATGAGTCAAAGTCACGGTCAAATTCAGACTAAAATGCTCCGGCTGGAGCCTTGGGCCTGGGTCCGGTGCAAACTCCTAGATCATCTTTTAGCGTTGGGGTGACGGCGGCTGGTGTTGCAGCATCCAGCTCTAATGCAGGAGTGGTGGCGCCTGCTGACCCTGCCTCCAGCTGACTTTCCTCAGCTGGTAGACCCTCCAGGCTGACGGCTACAGTGCCAGTGTGCATTGAGCCCAGTCAGGGGAGAATCTGAGACCGTCAGGGCCGTGGGGACAGAAAGAGTGGATTGTGGCGAGTGCATTACCAGGAGTAGGCTGAGCAGTCTACACTTCCATCACTGCCAGACCGTGTGGAGTTTGAATGGGATTGATTGGGACTGCAGACTGCTGTGACATTAAGGTGCATGGAAGGAATATCTGACTGTGAGTAAGCTTGTCCACACACAGCCACAATAATAGCTGGTTTTCAGTATTACTCATAAAACTACACAACTGATAAAATGGGAAACAGCGAGATAAAAGTAATCGGTCGAAGAATAGTGTTAAAAAGAAGAAAGATTGTTGGAGAGTCCAAAAGAACACACTGATAAGAGTCCTTACTATAAATCCAATAGAAATATAGAATATTTAAAATAAACACTCAAAACCAAATCCTCCTGGACAGTGGGTCCAGGTGGGCCATGATGCTGACAGCTTAGGGCAGTGACTGTATAGCTGTGACATCACAAAGTAACAGAAGTCATGACGGCTCATTTCAAGGCTCAGTTTCTGAATATGAGCCGTGTGCGTTTCTCTGTGGACTGAGCGCTTTGATGCTTTCATAATATTTAAATCAGCACTGAGACCTGCCTTAGAATCAAGAAAGGACCCACATAGTGCTCTGTTATTTCTGCCTTTCAATTCCAGCATGTTTTTTGGAGAATACTGACTAAGAACAAAAACATAGATTCGATTTTTCGCCAGTTCAATATGCAAAGACGGTGTAGCAGAAAGAAGCAGCTCTTCCAGGGTAGAGTTGCTGCAGTTTTAACATCAGGCTACAGATGGCCCCAGGAACCTCCATCAAGAGGACACCTGAGAGGTGAACTCGGGGGCAGGGAAGGGTTCAGCCAAACACTCACTGCTGCTCATAAAGCTTAAATGGTGTGAGGGCTCAACTCAGCTCCAACTCAAACTCAGTCTGGCTAAGCTCTACTTGTTTGTTATCTATTTTGTGTTGTTCATTTGTGCGGCTATGTGTTGCGTGTGCTGTGGCGCTTTTACAAAATGAAGGTCGTAAGACCTACTGTGTTGAAAGCAGACTGAAGCCTTTAGTTCCTGTGAAGGGAGAGATGCAGCATAAAATGATATTCCAATCTTTTCATGAGTTTGTGTTCCTGTTCCTGTTTCAACATGACAGTTCTCCAAAGCCAGTTCCAATAAAGAAACAGTTTCCACTGCTGGTGTGGAAGAACCTGACTGGCCTGCACAGGGCCCTGACCTCAACCACGTCCAACACCTTTGGATGATAAGGTCTGGCTAGAAGTCAGTGAGTGCCGACCTCTCTAATGCTCCTGTGGCTTAATGGGAGAAAATCCCTGAAGCCAGGTCCAAAGATCTGGTGGAAAGCCTGGACCCAGAGGAGTGGAGGCTGTTAAAGCAACAGATTAATGTCCATGGTTTTGGAATGAAGTGTTCAGCAGTCACATACAGCTGTAATTTTCGGGTGTCTACATACCTTTGGCCACATGGTTTACTTTGCTGCAAGGAAACCCTTTACGTTGAAGCTATGAAAAGTAAAATATGTTCAAGTTATTGAGAAATGTGAGTATAATTGGCGGTAGTGTTGCTTGCTCTTGTACTGGTTCACGGCAAGTTTAACCCACAAGCATGTCTTGAAATAAAAAATGGAGCATAATTGGACTTAATGTCCTGTAATAACTGATTTCCTGCAGCTGTTATTCTTACACTACCGTTTTACAGATTCAGAACTTTCATTAACTTTGTGCAGTTGAAAACTGAAAATGTAGTCACAAAAGAAACTCATTTAAAAACTTCAGTTGTCCTCTCTCCCTCAGAAGAGGTTTCATTTCCAGAAACACCCCCTTGAAAATATTTAAACCTTCAGTAACCTGAACAGAGCAACTCCCTGTGAGCTTTGGGGTTATGGGAATATTGTCCCACGAAGAGTCAGACTGCCAGAATATTAATGTGTTACTGACTCAAGATGCCCCTCTGTGGTTGGGAACGCTAGACTGGAGACTTACTGTCATTAGCGTGAAAGTGTGTGTGTGTGTCAGAGAAAAATATTCCATCCACTCAATGCCCACCGAGGTTCCTGATCCTTGACCCCAAAGTGCTTCTGGTTTACCTGAACTAATCAGCAGCTAAACCCTGAAACTTTAACCCAGAGCTGAGACAGAAACACTTTCCCATGAGGTAACAGCCATGTGTCATAGTTCTGACCTGGGATTGTTAGTGTGTGAGGAGATGCACAAAAGTATCAGCCAGCAAGCTTTTTGTGCACATTGCAGCAACACAACTTAAAGGAAAGTTCAACATTTTTTTTGAAACATGCTTGTTTGCGTCCTTGTTTTCTGAGAGAGAGTGAGAATGAGAAGATTGATGCCAATCTCATGTCATGCGTGTTAAGTACAGAGCTGGAGTCAGAACACGGTTAGCCTAGCATAGCATAAAGACTGGAATCATTCATTTCCGACTATTTTCATACCAAAAGATTACAGATGTTTAGCATAATTCTAGTCCTATAAACAGAAAAAGGTTACACACACGGCAACCAGAAAGCCAGTATTTACTTGCAGTACTCATGACTGCAGGAGTTAGACAGTGTTTAGGGTTATGGTTATGATTTTATGGGTCTGACACATGTCAGTGCTCTTTACTTTAGGAGCATGGACAAAAAAATTTTTTTGTTATTACAATGTATAATATGTAATTAAAGCCTAGTATCTGAGAATATTTTTAGTGACAACCAATTGTTTGTTGTCTTCAGAAAAATCAGACCTTACCTGACTCAGTACTCTTGGTCCAGGCCACAGTTATCTCACAGTGAAACCCTTGTAGATGGTCCAGAATTCAGCCACCGGTCTGGTCTTCAATCAGCCCAAAAGGGCACATGTCACTCCACTACAAATCAACCTACACTGGCTACCCATCACCATCCCTTCACCCAAGAGTCTCAGTCCAGACTGTTCTGGTCTGTGGTTCCCTGATGGTGGAACAAGCTACCAAAGTCTATCAGAGCAGGAGCCTCCCTCTCTATCTTCAAGAATCTCTTCAGAGAGCACCTTCTTTCCTAAAACCCTAACATGTCTAACTAGCTCTTATTATGCACTTTTGATGCACTTCCTTATACAATCTCCTTGCACTTATTAAATAGATGCTGTACTTAATACTTACACCAAGGTTCCCCACTGTGCTGAAGCTTTAGTGATGTCCCTCACTTGTAAGTTGGTTTGGATAAAAGCCTCTGACAGATGAGTAGATGTAAATGTAGTGGAAGGTGGCCACTAGTTGTAAAATATGCATGTTCAGTGGTCATGTGTTATGTTGGAAAATGGTGATGAGCTAGTTTTACTCACAGTACAGATGCGTCGAAGGCTAAATCCACACAAAACAATTGAAATAAGGCATTAAAGTGCTACTGTTCAAGTCCAGGCTTTGCATCCAAACTCTGGCATGTTGGCCATTCGCCAGTCAGTGATGTCACAGCAGGTATTTTACTATTGACGACAAACAGAAAATACCCTTTGTGATGTGACTGACTGGAGTGTGTCCAAAAGTGTGACATCTTTGAAAGACGGCCTCACAATCACAAGCAGACTGAGAGCTGATCTACCCTCCGACCCTCTACTCTCTGAAGTAATGAGTTAGAAAGTTGCACCTTCCAATGAAAACGATCAAATATTAGTTATAATAACTTTAATTAACTTTACTTAACTTTAATATTGAATAGAGAGTGTATTATCTGTCCTTTTCCATCGTGTTATTATCCTGTCAGAGGGAAGGTGAGAAATGGGAGGCATCTGGATGCTTCACATTCCTCCCTCTGTTGGCAGGTGATTGGACACTAGGTGATTGGCTATCACACAGCAGCCGCCTGCCTCTAATATACTCTCACTATCATCACAAAGAGGCACAACAGCTGAGCACAGAGCAGCCAAAGTTTTACAATAGAGCAGCGTATGGTTTTGTTCTGAGTCTAAATCAATACCATGCATGTTTTTGTTCCATGATATATTTCTGACGTTTACAGAGGAGTTGGTGAGCGTTTGCAGCGACAGCCAAAGCTGACTGTTGGATAGCAGCTCAGTTTGGACGAACTACTGAGGCACAAAACTGAATTTGGTGTGTTAAACCTCAATATAGAAGGCAATGTAATGCCTGCTTATGTGGTGAACACAAATATGATCTTAGGATTGGATGAATGTCTTATATGCGAGTCCAGTCCGAGATAATGAAGCTGCTGGAGGAGATAAGCTAAGCTGGCCTGGAGACAGAAATCATCTCAGTGGTTCAGGTCAAAGTTCTCATTCATTGAGTGAAAGAACCACATTTTTCTGACTCAGTGGAACATGTGGTTCATTAGTGACCAGTGAAAATTCAACAGGGAGGACCATGTAACCATGTTTCTGTCTGCTGTGTTTCTCCAGAGACACCTATCTCCTGAGGACTTCCAGATGGTTTTCGGGATGACCCTGGAGCAGTTCGATCGCCTGGCCCTCTGGAAGAGGAATGACATGAAGAAGAGGGCACACCTTTTTTAGACAGACAAGAAAAGCGCCAAGTAACATCTCAACAACCGACCATCCTGTCTGGAAGAAAGCAGAAAAGAAAAACCAACCCATTTGAAATCTCTATATATGCACCGCCATGATACCCCCTACTTTCCACCTGTACAACGCCATGCCATCTGCCTGCGATGCCACGGAGAGGCGCTCCGTGCAGGAACATTCTCACCTTGAGGCAGCGTCTAGAGCTTTTTGTATGCTATGTGGTCCAAATGTTTGACTGACAACCTTACATAAGAGGATGAGGAGCTGCGTTTGCATGGCCTGTGTTGATGCTCCTCGCCTTCCATGTGGTTTTCTGACACCCATCCCAACGCCTTCATACACCCTGGCAAATATAACACATTTTTCATCCGCAGCGAGTTTCTTTTATTCATTTCATCTGTTTGCTGCTCTGCCTTTTCTCTCTCACTGTCTCCGCATCATTTGAAGTTGTTCTCCCTGCACCGACTGTTACATTGTCAAGCCGGTTCATTTTTACCATTGCTTTACAAACGTGAAGAGACTGCAGACTTGTACGCACTTCACTGTTCAAGCATGTCAAGGCAAAAGACAGGGATAAGAAACAACTTCATCTTCTCTGATCTCTCCCCTCAGAACCGGTCAAAAAGCACCTTATCAAACGCTTTTGTTTTCCATTTCCCTTCATGTTCAGTCAGAGAAGTTGCGAAAGACCGGCCAGGTAGTTTTGATAAATGTGACCTGATACTTTTGAATGCAGTCACATATCTTACACAAGCCTCTCGTAAATCAGCACAGACAGGGAGAGCCAGGGCTGGATGAGGGCCAGAACGGGGTGGGGGGGGGGGGGGGGGGGGGGGGTGGGGGGTGGAAGAGAAAACGTACAGTACAGTTTCGGGGTATGCAAAGGTATCACATATGCAGGAATGCCAGAGTGACATGCACTCGCATTAAAAAAAAACAAAAAAAAAAACAACAACGACAAAAGAAATTATTTTTATAAGCTATTTTTGACTTCTGGAAAGGATCATTTCACCAATCATGAAACACAGCTGAGAGAAATCATGATTTTGTTACAAGAATAAGGCCACGTTGACTTTAAGCTTCAGAGACCTGCAGCAGCACTTAAGCCAAACAAGTGAGGTCTTGCTTGATTTAAATCTCAATAATATAACTGTGTTATATCTTCTCAGATAGTGGTCTAACTCCTTATATGTTTGTTGTTTGAAAGCATTGTTGTGTGCAGTACAAGCTACACATATAAGCTAAAGTCTACCAGTTTTGCTTGATTTTCTGGACAGTAAATTGATCAACTTGTCAACTAACATACTGTAAAATGTATATAAACATATACTGGACATATGCCAGATATATCTGTCTGTATACAATCCATGGTGTATAACTCTTCAGGCATGCATGAGGATGGGAGAATGGGGTTTGTCCACTGACCTCAGATTAGAAATGTATGAAAACATTATCATCAATGTGTTTTGAGTGATTGATTCTTTTTTTGGTTAAAGTATGTCAAATGAAAATGCCTGGGTTAGCTGCTTACATTAGCTTGTGTTAGGTATTTATTTAATTGCAATATTAAGGATGGGATTTTATTTTGAAATCTCAAGGGTGTAGTGTCGAGTATATAGCATCACCAAGAAGAAAGCTTTTGGACAGAGACATATCAAATTTTAAGTTTAATCTGAGTGTCAAATAAAATATTTGCTCCTGTACGTAACACACTAACTGTTGTCATAAAGCATCATGTCATCTTTCTAACATTCATGTGCTATTAAAGTGCTTTATCCAAAACTCAGTCAATACGGATTGGAGTGCTTGAGTTTGTCAAATGAAAGTGAAAGTCTTATGAGGTGACGGTACCTTCAAGCAAAGTGTGTAGTATAGAAATATCTGGAGTCTTTCAGGGACACTTTCTAACTTCCTCTTTGTCACATTGTTCTAGTGATGAAAGATGATCATCGCCCGACTCGGGCTGAAAGAGTTTCTTTCCATCACTGAGGGTCAAACGAACAGAGCTGTAGAAACATGAAGCTGCATTCAGCCAGTGGCAGTGGTTCATCTCTGTAACGCCTCGAGGGAGGTTCTTAAAACTTGGTACAAACATTTACTGGGACTCAAGGATGAACTGATACTACACTGCACTACACACACTGATACTGAGCTACAATTTGGTGGTCAGAGGTCAAAGGTCAAGGTCATTGTGACCTCACCAACACATTTTGGGCCTTGTGAAAGCAATAACTCAGCATTGAGGGAATTTCTTCATATTTGGCATATATTATTATATTTGGACTCAAAGATGACCTGATCAAAGGTTCAAAGGTCAAGGTCACTGTGTATGTTTAGGACATGTTTTTGACAGTAACCCAAGAATTTGAACTGTAATTATGACAGAATGTCACACTGATGTTTAACAGGAAAAAATGATGAAGTGAGGGTCAAAGGTCAGCTTCACTGTGTGTCATAAATACAAAATCTAAAAACACTTTTCTGGCCATTATTCATTGCCATGACTCAGGAACAGAAAAGAGACTGTGACCGTTTTTCTTGCAGCTAGAGTGGTTGCATATGACCGACAGCGAGGCAGGAATTCTGGTTGTGGTTTGAGCACCTCAAAGTACTTGGTTGATGTCAGGGAAATGTCATCGTCTAGCTTAAACAGTGAAAAAATCAACAGTGGCACAGAACATCTTTACTTTTTCAATATTTAACCAAAACTAGGATCTTTCCCAAACTTGAACTCAAGTATTGTTGTAATCTAAACATCACCTAAAATCCTGCACCATACACCCTCTATCAGCCCTGACAGCCGGCGGTGGGAGAAGCACTCGCATCTTTTACTTCAGTAAAACAACCAGGACAATAATATCAAAATACTCCATCACAAGCAAAAGTCCTGTATTCAAATACTATAATATTGAATTAAATGTTTAGTATTATATAAAGGTCATTTTTAGGAGACAGGGTTGTTTACAGTTAGACTGGTGAGAGCATCATGTTCACACTGCTGCTGAAACGAACACTGGGTTTGTAAAGACTGGTTTTGGGAATGCTGAGTCAATAAATAGAGGAAACCCATTCAGTCACAGATATGATTTTACAGTTCCCACTAGATTCAGCAAATAACATTCTGCCCACTGCTGTCTCTCTCAATGGCTTCCTAATAGTAGACAGAGGGCGGAGTCAGCGGGGGCCATCCTCAGGCTCAGCTCCACTCGTCTGATTCGTTGATGCATCTTCATCTCGTTTGCTTCATCGGATGTGGGCACTTGGGCACAAAGCTGTCACCCAATCAGTCTGTGTGTTGATGTGAGTGCTAACTTCAAATCGACCACTGCGGTGTGAATGAGACAAGTGATGCTGCAGTACCTGAGAGCAGGAAGTGCAGTTACACCCAACCAGGCTGGATTATACGGTCAGAGAGAGCTTTCATCTCTTTAAGCAAACAGGCCTCTGACACAGAGAGAGCAACGCTGAAGAAACCCGCTGCTCACAGCCTGTGCTGTCAGATTCACATTGAGAAAGTAACGTAATGCTGCTCATAAACAACATTTATGCCCATTGTTGTGTTTTGTTTTGTGTTTTATCCCTTGCTGCTAAGGACAGAGTAACGCTCTTCCATTCTGACTATAGGCCTGAACTACATATAGACCTGTGTGCCGAACTAAATATATATCTCAATGTAGAGGGATGACACATGCCCACATCACATAACCTTGAAATAAAGTTTTGTTTTCTTCTTTGGATTTATGATTTATCTGATTACTTGGCATTCATTATCAATAATTAGGAACAAATCTCAGTGTGTCTCATAATGAAACCAGATGTTGTTTGATTCAGCTGGATTTCTTTGTCTGACTTGTTTCCATGTTGGCTTTGTTTTGCAAAGAAATATCTGATGTTCATCTTGTAATAAATGTTAAATTCAATTCAGTGCTGACTCTCGTGTGCTGCATTGTTACAAATGGCTGCCATGAACTCCCTTATTTGATTATTACTAAAATAATGATCAGAAAATGAATTAAGAACACACACATCTGCCAAAAAAATCCCTTCTCCATGACAATACATCTGTTGTGGTATTTTCATCGTGATCTCTCATTATCTCAGTGTGTTTGTGTTTTGTCATATCCTCCTCTCTAATCCTTTGATAAGAGCAAAAACATTAATATTGAATGTTTTGTCTAATTAAATCCAGCCTGGATGTGCTGTGTCCGTAGCTCCAGGGGTCGGCTGCAACCCTAATTAACTATCTTATAATTTCATTTTATTGCATTCATTAGACAATGAGGACATGAAAGAATGATACCAGATGTCATGAAGGTTATCTGGGCTTGAGACAGAAAATTCAGAACGCAAAGCTTGTGTCACAAACTGGGGTTGTGGAGTTAGCACTTACACAGCAGGGAGAGTCTAATCCAAAAGATGCTACTGAGTTGCATTATGGGAAATCTAGGAATCTGCAGTTTAATCATTTTACTTAAGCAATATCAACTGAGAGGGAGTGATGCGGCCTCATACCTATGACCGAATCACAGCCGGTCTGATATTCAGTACAACATCACCACCTCCAGTGTGATGTTGCTTTTATACAACAGTTCTATGAGCACCATGTTAGTTAAATAAGCAACAACAGATTATGAATTGTTGTCATCTGGAGGTGTGCGCTGAAGTATCCAGGCTTCTTCCCTTCTTTCTCTTCGGACCACTAGACATCATTAACGTTATTTCTGGAAATATTTCATCTTTGCAAAGTTTATTACAATCTGTTAATGAAACGCTAATTAACGGTTAATAAACACCTCTGAAGTAGAGTGATCGGTGGAGTTAAAAGTCCCAGTGCAGTTGTACTCTATATCAGCACTCATGGAATGACTGAAATGAATCAAATTACTTATAATATAATAATATAATAATAATAATATACTTTATAATATACCATTAAATATGTTCATCAAAAAATATTTCTCTATTATATTAATTTTAAAAAAGNAGTTAGACTGGTGAGAGCATCATGTTCACACTGCTGCTGAAACGAGCACTGGGTTTTATCCTGTATGTAAAGACTGGTTTTGGGAATGCCGAGTCAATAAATAGAGGAAACTCATTCAGTCACAGATATGATTTTACAGTTCCCACTAGATTCAGCAAATAACATTCTGCCCACTGCTGTCTCTCTCAATGGCTTCCTAATAGTAGACAGAGGGCGGAGTCAGCGGGGGCCATCCTCAGGCTCAGCTCCACTCGTCTGATTCGTTGATGCATCTTCATCTCGTTTGCTTCATCGGATGTGGGCACTTGGGCACAAAGCTGTCACCCAATCAGTCTGTGTGTTGATGTGAGTGCTAACTTCAAATCGACCACTGCGGTGTGAATGAGACAAGTGATGCTGCAGTACCTGAGAGCAGGAAGTGCAGTTACACCCAACCAGGCTGGATTATACGGTCAGAGAGAGCTTTCATCTCTTTAAGCAAACAGGCCTCTGACACAGAGAGAGCAACGCTGAAGAAACCCGCTGCTCACAGCCTGTGCTGTCAGATTCACATTGAGAAAGTAACGTAATGCTGCTCATAAACAACATTTATGCCCATTGTTGTGTTTTGTTTTGCGTTTTATCCCTTGCTGCTAAGGACAGAGTAAAGCTCTTCCATTCTGACTATAGCCCTGAACTACATATAGACCTGTGTGCCGAACTAAATATATATCTCAATGTAGAGGGATGACACATGCCCACATCACATAACCTTGAAATAAAGTTTTGTTTTCTTCTTTGGATTTATGATTTATCTGATTACTTGGCATTCATTATCA